CAGATGCAGAGACACACAGGCAGACAGACAGAACATTTATTAATCCTGAGATCAATGATTGTGTTGTTGCAGCACCAGGCTATCAGTCAATGGTGAAATGCTAACGATAACTAGCAAGCTAACATGTGTAGAATGCATTTATGTAGCTGCTGTTATTGAGTAGCTTGCTAGCGTTGAGCTAATTAGCTATTGCTAACAATGGAATTGACAGACAGAGAGCACCAGGCTTAGAATAGTCATTGGTCAAATGAAATATATATTAAAATAAATTCAATTCAATTAAAACGCTTATAATTCATTACTGAAAAAGTAGTAGAAACATTTTCAGTCGTGTTTTTTCTGCGTGTATCAGAGAGGGCAGGTGGGTCCGTATCTGACTCTTCCAACATCATAAAACAGCCAAGAAAAAGAGGAAGTCGTCTAATAACTGAAATCAAACACCATCTGTACGCCCACTGCGTTCAAGTTTCACATGCGGAGAAAACACATCTCAGAAACCTCGAATCCAAAGAAAATAACCTGCAAATGATTAGATTCAAATTGTCCAGGTTTTTTTTCCAGGTCTGATGTTTAACTGATGCTTTGGTAGACGAGACACATCCACAAATGTGTGTTAAAACTGAGCCATACATTGAATGAACCTTAAATGTACACTGGGATCAGCCAGCTGTTGTGCTTCCTGTGTTAGCATCCAAGCTAAACGGTCACGCCTGACATATGAGCTGCAAAGGGAAATAAAAACATTTTTTATGACACAGATTCACACCTGTCGCTCGCTTTGACAGGAAATACAAATGACAGTGTGTCTTTGTGTTGGAGAAGTCATTTAAGGACTCACTTTGAAACTGGATAACCACATAAAGAGAAAGACAGTTTGTTGTCGTGTGGAGTTACATAAAATACTGTTTATGTGAGACCCTAATCCTCATAATAAAAATGTGTTTTCAGAGCCGTTAAGAAATTATTTTTTATGCAATCTGCTATTTTTACATTTGAATGGATCTTACGGACCAACACAGTCTCACGGCATTTCGTGTTATAGTCACGAAATTAATCTATTGATTCGTGTTCACCAACACGATTTCGCCATTTTTTTCGTGTCACACAGAACGATTTTAAAAGCAATGTAAATAATAACAAATTAGAAGGAAAACGACATTTAAAAAAATACAGATTTAAGTATTCTGACACAGAACGATTTTAGAAGTAATGTATTTATATTGGTAGTATGTTTCGTGCCTGCACCAAATAATAACAAATTAGAAGGAAAAAAAGATGACATAAAATACAGATGTCAGTATTCTGAGGCTCTGAGACATTTCTTTTCCTCACTGACGGCAAAAAAACTCACACATTATACAATTTAAAATACAAGGGATAGGGTTAGGCTTAGGGTAAGATATTGAGTAAGAACATGTTTTTATGAACCACACAGCTTCTGGTCTTCCAAGACCCGACCGGACAAAAAGACGTGTTGCAGGCACGAAACATACTACCAATAGAAATACATTGCATTTCAAATCGTTCTGTGTGACACGAAAAAAAGGTGAAAATCGTGTTGGTGAACACGAATCAATAGATTAAATTACTAAATGCACGAAATGCAGTGAGACTGGGTTGTACTATTCCTGCAGTGACTTACTTTAGACATGTGGAGTTACATAAAATACTGTTCATGTGAGACCCTAATCCTCATAATAGAAATGTGTTTCCAGAGCCTTTAAGAAATAATTTTTTATGCAATCTGCTATTTTTACATTTGAATGGATCTTACGGTGTGTTTGAATGTGTTTTTGGATCCTGCAGCTACTGGGAAACTGTTTTATGGGCTGTATTTGGAGAAGGAGGGTGGGGGGGGGGGGGGGGGGGGGGGTGGATAGAATAAACAGCTCAGAGGCTCTAACTGTATAACTGAGCTGTTCATTAACAAGCTGCCGGGTGGATATTATGATCAGTAGCTTCAGGACAGAGACAATAAAACCTGTAATGCATGAGCTCACTGCTGCCGCTGGGAAACCAAAAGGCAGTTTATATTGATTTAAGATGCAGATAATTAACTTCTAATATGCTTTTATGAAAGATACTGTTGATGGCTTAAGTCAAGTCTCACGAGGCAAAACTCGGATATTTTTTTACAAGTAAAGAATACTTTTTATTGTCATTTATGACCCTGAATGCATCTTAAATCCACACCTGTCTTCTTTTGAAGCAGGTGTGCAGGTTTTCATGTCACTGCACGTTACTTGTTTGTCAAACACACACAGTGACAGACAGACATTGAGATACTGTCGGTCAAATGGTCTTTTATTAACCGTTGTATTGTCTTATCTTTATGGTGGATTTCCGGCACATTTGTCACCCACATCCTGAGCCTTCACTCTCCTGTCAGACATGAGTATTTCGATATTTCCGCCTCAAACATGCTCTTTTTATTGCGTGAGAAATAATAATGTGTGGGTTTGTGTCTTAACTGTTGAGTGCAAACACAAAACCGCTTCCTTATTTCTAACCAACAGTCTGCACTGATCCATTGATCTGACCAGAGGCAGTAACGGTCGACAGAAACTGTGACGCATGTTTGAGAAATATCTGAAACACCAGAGAAGCTCGACTGCTTCCTCTTACAACTTCTCCTTCTACATCACTCACGTAGGAGGACCGGCTGTACTCAAAGAGATCTAAATGTGTGATTAAAAGAATTGTTTGCAGATCTAGAGAGCTAGAGCTCACTCCAAAATCTAAAAATGATTAAATAGTTTGCCCAAAGTAAGTTGTAGATATTGGCCTCAATGTCAATGTCTCTTTTTTCAAAAATCATGACCCGTTAACTGAAGATAATCCACTTGTGTAAAAGTACAAGTACTCAGGTCTAGTACTTGTGTAAAATTAGAAGTACTCAGATCTTGTACTTGAGTAAAAGTAGAAGTACTCAGGTCTTGTACTTGAGTAAAAGTAGAAGTACTCAGGTCTAGTACTTGTGTAAAATTAGAAGTACTCAGATCTTGTACTTGAGTAAAAGTATAAGTACTCAGATCTTTTAGTAAAAGTACAAGTATTCAGACCTTGTACTTGAGTAAATGTAGAAGTACTCAGGTCTTGTAGTTGTGTAAAAGTACAAGTATTCAGACCTTGTACTTGAGTCAAAGTAGAAGTACTCAGGTCTTGTACTTGAGTAAAAGTAGAAGTACTCAGGTCTTGTACTTGAGTAAAAGTAGAAGTACTCAGATCTTGTACTTGAGTAAAAGTAGAAGTACTCAGATCTTGTACTTGTGCAAAATGTGTGCTTTTACTCAACACTGAGGAAGTCAAAATGTCGACAACATAATTAAATGTGAAGAAAAACTCGTATGTTTTTAGACATTAAATTCAAACTCTTGACCCAAGATCAAATAGTTTTGTGTAGTTGAATTCTCTTTGTGCTTAAAAACACCGAATAAATCTCACTTTGTTTTCTGATGCCGTCCCTCACGCTAATAATGTTTACCTTGAGACTCTAAAGACAACTTAGTTTCCCTCACATCAGAAACTGAGAACAGTTGAAGTACATGGGGTCTGGGGGTTTTGTTTCATTGCCTGGTTCCTTTCTGCATTGGGTATTTTTAGGTTGAACTTCCTTTTCCTGATCAAACCTCTTCAATGCAGGACCTTGTCTCCTAACAGAGTATTCTAACATTGTGGTTTGAGTACTTCAACTCATGTAAAGCTCCTGAATACTTCCTTTAACGCTGCTCCCGCCCTCCGGGTTGACTTCAGACCTCAGTGTTTGGGCCCTCCGTCTCTGCTGAACCTTCACTCACTCTGTTTTCAGTGAACCCTCCTGAATAACCCCCCCCCTCGTTACTCGCTCTGAACCCAAAGCACCGGCACGCTTTGTGCAGATTAATTCTCCTTAATCTTAAAAACGCAAAACGAATATCTTATTTATGCCGTCCATAAAATACTAATAATGTTTACCTTGAGATCAAACTGAGAAAGGTCCTGATCAACTGAAGTAAAAGGGGCTGATTTGAATAGCAGCAAAATGAGTTTACAGACTTTCTTTGGGGTGTTTTGAATTTATTTTTGGCTTTTTTGCATTGGGTTCTTCTAAGTTTAATACATGAAGTACATTTAGCAGATTTAACTTCAACACAGACAGTGTAGTACGAGTACTTTAACTCATGTAAAGCTCCTGAATACTTCCTTTAACGCTGCTCCCGCCCTCCGGGTTAACTTCAGACCTCAGTGTTTGGGCCCTCTGTCTCTGCTGAACTCACTCTGTGTTTAGTGTACCCTCCTGAATAATCACCCCCTCGTTACTCGCTCTGAACCCAAAGCACCGGCATGCTTGCATAACAATCCCCCCCCCCCTCCTCCCTTCAGTAGCAGTTGGGGGGGGGGGGGGCTCGGACACATGGCTGCATACCATCACTCACCATCATCTGCAACAAAGGGGATCAACGAGGAGAAACACACACACACACACACACACACACACACACACACACACACACACACACACACACACACACACACACACACACACACACACACACACACACACACACACACACACACACACACACACACACACACACACACACACACACACACACACACACACACACACACACACACACACACACACACACACACACACACACACACACACACACACACACACACACAGTTGTGTTTGGTATTTCGGGTCAGGCCTTTCTCGGCACATTCCTCTCTCCGCGCTGCAACAATACTGCGTGTCAGAGGCGACACAACGGGCTCCTTTCTGCACACCTCCACCACAAAGACCCTCCGGCCGGCCGAGAGCAGGCGCTAACCTCCAGAACTCGCGTGTGAACGGTTGTGAGGAGCTGCTATATTTAAAAAGAAGAAGTGGAATCACATGGAGGACGACACATGGGAGGAGGTCACTAACACATTGAGAGGTTGGCACATGCCGGTTCCCACTAACTGTTGTGGAAACAAACACATCTCTTCTTGCACAAAACAACGAGCGCTCGTTCTGGAAATGACACATATTTTTATTTTCAGGAAACGATGACTGAAAAAAAATGAAGTCTGAAGACGATTTCAAATCTTAGAAAAACGTAGAATCTGCTCACAATGAAAGACGGGGCATGCAGTAAAAAAAAAATCTGTACATGACAAAGACAATAAATTAAATAACTTAAAGAACGAAACGCTATGTACAGCTGCAGTCTTTGGTCTCTCCTCTCTTTGGGTCAGGGGACGCAGAAAGACAGACTTCAGTCCACAACACCATCCACACATGTCCCATGATGCAACGCTTTGTCCTCCCTCCCTGCTGCACACATGTCCCATGATGCAACTCTTTGTGAGGCTTCTCCCTGCTGCACACATGTCCCATGATGCAACGCTTTGTGAGGCTTCTCCCTGCTGCATCCTTATGGTGTAGAACGATCTGGAAACCCAAGATGCAACGCCTTATTCTTCTGGAAAGTGACAAGTATGTACAGCTGCAGTCTCCTCTCTTTGGTTCAGTGTCAGGGGGCTCAGACGGACAGGATTGAGTCATGATTCTCCCTGCTGCACCACGTGGTGTAGGAGAGGGGCCAGTGGGGGTCACAGCTTGCTCTCCTCCTCCTCCAGGGGCCGGTTCAGACCCGGGATGAACTTCAGGAGTCTCCTGCGGAAGCTCTTCTGTTTGGGTTTCCTCTGGGTGAACCCTCCCTGCTTCTCCCCCGCTGTGTTGCCGCCGCCCCCCCCCCCTCAGGTAGCTGCGGGTGCTAGCGCTGCGGGTGAGGTTGGTCTTGGTGCTGGAGAAGAGCTCGCTGACGGGGCGGACCCTCAGCTTCCTGTCTGTGGGGGGGGGGGGGTGCGTCGGGCCTCTGTAGGCGGGTGTACAGCGGCTCCTCCTCTGTGGTGTTGGCGCTCTGGATGCTGCTGGTGGAGCCGGAGCTGCAGCGGAGCGAGAGGTTCTCCGCAGGACTTGGGGTCCCCACGCTGCCGTACACCCCCGCTGACTCCAGGGACTCGTACACCGCCGCGTCACTCAGGACGATGCCTACAGAGAGAGGGGAGTGGAGAGGTTTTTTTTTATTGTTCGGAAAATACTCTTCCGATATCAGAGTAGATCATTGGAGAACTCATTACACCCTACTGTCCTATAGGGCACTGCGTTCCAAGGACGCACGGTTGTTGGTTGTTCCTCGTGTCTCTAAAGGTACAATGGGAGCCAGAGCCTTTTCTTATCAAGCTCCACTTTTGTGGAACCAGCTTCCAGTTTGTGTTCAGACACGCTATCCGCTTTTAAGAGTGCGCTTAAGACCTTCCTTTTTGATAAAGTTTATAGTTAGGGCTGATTAGACTCAGACCCTAGTTTAGCTGCTATAGGCTTAGACTGTCGGGGGACACCTTCCTCCTTCTCTCCGTCTGTACCTGTGTACTCTCATGTTCACAATAACACAGCTTCCCCACATCTCTTTTTGGTGTCTATCGACGCTGAGTCCTGGTCTGAGTCCTGATCCGAGTCCTGGTCTGAGTCCTGGTCTGAGTCCTGGTCTGAGTCCTGGTCTGAGTCCTGGTCTGAGTCCTGGTCTGAGTCCTGGTCTGAGTCCTGATCTGATCTGAGTCCTGATCTGAGTCCTGATCTGAGTCCTGATCTGAGTGAGTCCTGATCTGAGTCCTGATCTGAGTCCTGATCTGAGTGAGTCCTGATCTGATCTGAGTCCTGATCTGAGTCCTGATCTGAGTCCTGATCTGAGTCCTGATCTGAGTCCTGATCTGAGTCCTGTCCCTGTGGTCCTGACTCTCACCTCACCTCTTCTCTGATGGCTCCCACAGGATTGTTGAAATCCACCTGAATCCATCTTCTTATTTATAGACACATGCCTTTTCAAGCATTTGGACTACCTATGTTGTAAATGTATTATCTTTTCTATTTATTTATATATATTCGTATTATTATCATTATATTCCCCATCCCTATTGGACATTGTAAAAGCATCTGAAAGCAGTTTGAATAAAGCGTGAGCACATGTATTGGTGTTGACCTCACCGTGCACCAGCCTCTGCTCCTGCACCATCAGAGAGCGATACTCGTCCCATTTCTCGTGAAGTGTTTGCTGCAAAAGGAAGACGTGGATATTGTTAATGATGGCGACTAAATGACGCCCGAGTAGATAAAATAAAACAATGCTGTAAAAAGGGAAGGATGTCATTATTTGGTCTACAACTTTTCAAAGCGACAAAACACTAAAAGAACAAACGATACCAACTCAGCGTACAAAAAGCTAAGCTGTGGTCGACAAGAAACTAACTGCACGATCCCAATATGCAGCTCAAAAAGATGCATGGATGATGTTTAGGAGTCAACACTTCTGTGTGTTTCGCATCCCAATATGACTGCAGCAGTTTTTCTCGTGCTGATTTAAGTATGAAGCTCTCTCTCTCTCTCTCTCTCTCCCTCCCTCCCTCTCTCTTTTAGTCAGGGATGTTCCAACATGTGAGTCCACAGATAAGTCACACTTAGTGAGAAATGAACATGTAGCAACAGTGGAGAGAGCAGCAGCAGGTTAATCTGTGGAACACTGGATTAGAGTGTGTGTGTGTGTGTGTGTGTGTGTGTGTGTGTGTGTGGAGGGATTAGAGGGAACCAGCTGCTGCAATCTGTGCATGGAGAATTTTTAAAAACAGCCGACTGCTGATCAACAGGTGGAGCTGAGGGGGAGACAGGTGTGCATGGGGGGAGACAGGTGTGCATGGGGGGAGACAGGTGGAGCTGAGGGGGAGACAGGTGGAGCTGAGGGGGGGGGGGGGGGTGTGTGCATGGGGGGGGGGGGGGGTTTCTCTATGTAGCATGCAACCCAATGTGCAGCACGCTGACAAACAGTGAAAGACTCTCCTGATAACTCTGCTCTTAATCTTTTAGAAGCAGCGGAGGGAAAGAGCACTCAACTCAAACCCATCAGACACGTAGAGACACTTTAATGATGGTTAACTTAAGGACCTACAAATAGATGCAAACTCTTAATCATTTAATGTGTACACGTTTAAGCTGCCAGTGTGCTTCATCACAACTTTGAGAAACAACATGAAAAATCATAGTTTTGAACCCTCGTTGTGCCAAACATGGAGATGAGCAGCATCTCTGTTTACGATCACATCAAAGTGAGTGTTTTCAGACATTATCTTAGACTTTGAGAAACTAGATAGACATTTTCTTTACATTTGAAGCAGTGAAAGTCTCACCTTCAGATACTGCAGCCGAGCCTCCATCTCCGCTTTCCGGATGGAGTCGCTGTAAACCGTCTCCAGCCTGTGAGCCGGAGAATACAAAGGGTTAGGAGGGAGCACCAATACACACTACAAGGGTTGAAATACAAATGAAAGGCTTTTCATGAGGAGGTGGGGGGAGGGGGGGGGGATCCACATGCAGATACTTCTACTACGAATCCACAATATGTAGACATGAGTTTCTGTCACGTTTCCTCTCCCAGCTTGCACACGTCAAAGGAAGCACCTCAAAGCGCAGAAGGCTAAGAATACAGGAGTCATGAAAGGCTTTGTGGGAATCTGTATGCAAAATATGCATTTGTGTTTTTGTTGTACATACACACAAGGGGAGGTAGTCGGTTCCTAAGAGCCAGCATGCGGGACCGGGACTCTGGGATTTGTAGTCTTTCTAGTTGCGTATTTTTCATAGTCTTATATTTCAACAGTTTTACGACAAACTGTGACTTTTTTGACATGGAAATTATTATTTAAGATTGACAAACATCATATGTGTAATTCATGGCACAATTCAAACGGGATAGAGAGATACGTTTTCTCTCCATTGACTTCAATACATAATTTTTCCAAGTAGAAGGGCGGGACTTCGCCTCTCTATGACAGGAACCACTAATAAAAACTACAACGGCAGAAAACTACGAGTAATAAAGTCATGGAAGGCTTTTTTATTGAGGTGGAAATCTGTGTTCAAAATATGGGGTTTTCTTTATATTTCCTGTCCTTTTTTTGTTTTGTACGAGAATCCCTTTTCTAATGTGCAAGCAGCATATGTGCGTAACAGGAAGCACTTATAAAAACTACAAACACGGATTAATTGAAGTGATGAAAGGCTGTCTGCGTTAATCTGGTGTGAAAAGTTTACGACAGCGCGACAAATAAATAATTTCCACTGCAGACGCCTCACTTTGAATTACTCGTTCTCACTTTAACAACTAACACTTTTTTGAGTCTGTAAAACGTGCCTCGCCGTGCGGTTCACTTCACGGGTTTTACAGGCGCTAATTCTGCTTTTAATCTTTTACAAGCAGCGGAGGGAAAGAGCACTCAACTCAAATCCCTCAGACACGTCGACTTTAAAGGGTTATCTATCAAATGAACAAAAAAAAAATACTTTAAAGAACGTAATCTCTTGATTATTTTTAGACGTTTAAGCGGACAGTGTGCATCCTCAGAAATGCTTAGAAATAGAGCTGCAACAGTTATTAAATTCATTCTTCACGCCCCAAAAAACATCTTTAAACTCCTATAAATCTGGAGTTTAAAGGCTTTTATAAATCATACTAAAGTGAATATCTTTGGATTTAGAGAAACTGGCAAGGGCAATTTTATTTGTATAACATTTAGTCATGTCAACAAGAGAGACGCTGGGAAAAAGGGCTCATGATCGAGAATTACGTTTTTTTTAATACATTTTTTTGCATGAAAAGGGAAGAAATGTGTCTTTGATTCACAATTTTAAATTTGCTTGAGTCAACTTATCTAAATAAAAACATAAAATAAGATTAGAAAGAGGAGCAGTAAATCAAAGTTAAAATACAAAATAATAGAAATCTGAGTGAAAAACTGCTTCCTGGCCATCCTTAATATTTAAAATATTTCTCTGCGGATGTTTTTCTCAGCAAGGTGGTCATTACACATTTTGCACCCTAAATGTTGAAATACTTCTCCACAATGAGAGGGCAGTGATGTTTGTTTGCAGCCTGTAATTCTACTAACCAGTTTAACTACTTTTAAAGTCTTTGTCCTGCTTCAGATGCTCTGATATTTTAGATAGTTTCCCATCCCGCCCGCTCTGACCTGCCGCTCAACCCGCTTCTATAAATAACTTCTGCTTCTTCTTCTTCTTCCCAAGCGAAACCAGGCAGTTAAACTATGAAATGTGAATTTCTCACAGCCAGAGGCCACTTCTTCCCTTTGATAATCCAACAGCACAAAACACGAGAAGTCGGTGTGAAACAGACTTTACATGATGGGAAAGTCCATAACTTTAACCAGGTTTCTACAACTTGTTCATTCAGTCTCCCCTTTGGAGGTCAAAATAAGCCGTGCAACGTATAAAAACGTACTTTAGTTGGGGAATAAAAGCTCAATTGTTGGAAGTTATTTAGCAGATTGATGTTCAAAGTCAGCATTTCTCCCTACACGCTGTTCGGCTAACGCTAACGTTAGCTCAGCTTGTTTCTCTGAGAACTTCAGATCCAGACGTGTAGGAAGATTTAACTGGAGGCCAATTGAATGTAAGAAGTAGCATCCTCTTCAAATCAAACAGACCTGCTGATTAAAACCTGTAAAAACACTGACTAAAGCAGTTTTATGTTAAAAATCGGAGTTTCTCCAGTGGACAGAGGGGCTACGAGCTAAAGGCTAACACTGTCACCTTGTTTCTGATTTCCCGCAAGATCCCAACATGTACAACACTTTTAGAAGAGGCTGAATTATCCTAAAAACTTGCCTTGTCTCTAAAATGAATGACTCCATGAGTAGAAGAAGTAGAAAAACACTGAATAAATCAGTTTCATGTTAAAAATCAGTGTTTCTCCAGTGGACAGAGCGGCTACGAGCTAAAGGCTAATGTTAGCTTTCTCTGATAAGTTCAGATCCAGATGTCCCAACACTAAACTCCTTCATCTGGTTAAAAAAGCACCAGAAAACTGTTAAAATGTGGCTTAAAACTGGTCCATTTATGACAGTTTCTTGCAGTCAGCATACACTCAAAGGGGATACGACAGCTTCACAGAAATTAACGATTTATGGCATCCTACTTCCCAAGGATTTGCATTTCAAGACCTTGTAAGACCAATTATGGCCCTTATTTCAAGGTAAATTAAGAACAGAAGAGCCTTACTTAACCGTTTTTGATTCAATGCCTTTCAAGACGTTTCCCTACAGGATCAGACAGTAGAGTTGTTTTATTATAAGTCATATCTCTTCAGCTTTTTTGTGAGTGTGTACCTGAGTGTGTTTCCACAGGCTCTGATGAGCTGCACGATCTCTTTGTGCCGAAATCCCTCCACCGTCTCCTCGTTCACACTGGAGATGGTGTCCCCTGCACACACACACACACACACAGATGGTCAGCATGCACTTCATTTACTGCTGCAGGATTGATTGTTTGATTGCATGAAACGTCGACATGTGCAGCACAAATGTGAAGACGTGGCTGATTAATGAACTGCAGCAGCCACATGTGTGTGTGTGTGTGTGTGTATTTATATATGTGGTGTGAACTCTGATGTCTTTGTGAGGTTTCTGCACAAAGCTTTTATTCTGCTCTTTCAAAACCCACCGCCATGTGATGCAGTCAGAGAGGCGTGAGGACAATTGGAGAGACATGTGAGGAATGTAGGAAGTGAAACTGAAGAGGAGCAGGGTCCTCTTCCTCCTTTAGTGACAGAGACGTTAGACTGAGGTCAACGAGGTTAAAACCAGAGAGACAGTGTATAGACCGCTGACGTGCTCAATAACACGTGGATGTCCAGCCTCATATTCTCACGGTGAGAAGTCATTACCAGACAAAAGAGAACAGGAACCTCATTTTAGAAATGTAATCTGAATAAGTCTTATATTTGCGACTGTAAGGGAACACAGTTCACTTTTTCTGAGTATCCTGGCAAGACAGTATTGATTTTAAGATGCTGCCTTTTGATCATGTCCACACAGCAAGACATAGGGACGTTTTTAGCTATTTGAACGTTGTTTTGTGTGCACCCATCACTAGGCAGGGGACAGTATCAATCATCCTGGCCTTAACATTATTGCACGATTGCATCCGGATAATAATCAAAAAATGATGCAGGTTTGTTCTTATTTTACAGGATAGTTTTGGTTTAAGTGGGATCATTTCTTTACTTCACTACGATTACAATTTGTAAAAGCATGTGAGGATATTCACAATCCCTCTTGAGTGTGTGGGAGAAATAATCTATAAGTACTTCCAACCCAGTCTCACGGCATTTCGTGTTATTAGTCACGAAATTAATGTAATCTATTGATTCGTGTTCACCAACACGATTTTCACCTTTTTTTCGTGTCACACAGAACGATTTGAAATGCAATGTATTTCTATTGGTAGTATGTTTCGTGCCTGCAACACGTCTTTTTGTCCGGTCGGGTCTTGGAAGACCAGAAGCTGTGTGGTTCATAAAAACATGTTCTTACTCAATATCTTACCCTAAGCCTAACCCTATCCCTTTTATTGTAAATTGTATAATGTCTGAGTTTTTTTGCCGTCAGTGAGGAAAAGAAATGTCTCAGAGCCTCAGAATACTGACATCTGTATTTTATGTCATCTTTTTTTCCTTCTAATTTGTTATTATTTGGTGCAGGCACGAAACATACTACCAATAGAAATACATTGCTTCTAAAATCATTCTGTGTCAGAATACTTAAATCTGTATTTTTTTAAATGTCTTTTTCCTTCTAATTTGTTATTATTTACATTGCTTTTAAAATCGTTCTGTGTGACACGAAAAAAATGGCGAAATCGTGTTGGTGAACACGAATCAATAGATTAATTTTGTGACTATAACACGAAATGCCGTGAGACTGTGTTGGTACTTCATATCAACAGATGAGCTGCGGTGGAGCAGAAGTAACGTAACACTATATAAAAAGGACTTAAGCAAAGTACAAGAACCTTAAAATTAGACTTAAGTGCAGTGCTTTACTTAGTGACTGAGTCTTTTGAGTGTGTGTACGAAGCATTACGTGTTCAAAATGCTATGTTTGATAATATAAAACCTCCCCTCGTCGTGCAGCGAGTTCGTGAATGTCATGCCTCAGTGAGTGCTGCATTGTATTGGTAATGGTCACAACGATACACAATCAAAAGAAGAACGGATCCAAAAAGGTGAAGAAACTTGTGAAATATTTCCTCTTTTTAAAACCTGGCCGTCACATTTTCCAAAACAGACGAGTGACGTTTGCCAAATAAAAATATAACTTCCTCTAAAACCGAGCGGTTGCGTTTGCTCTTCTGTTTTAGGCACTTTGGTGAGAGGAGGTGTCAGAGAGGTGTCGTCTGGAAACACACACACTGAGTCGCTTGTTGACTGGAAAATGAGAGGGCGTATTTACACACCACAGTAAACCATAAAAAGACCCTCACTGAGACGCAGTTCAGGTTATTTTAGGCTTTCGTCACAGAAACTCACCGACTTTAAGTCCCGCCTCCAGCGCCGGGCTGTCCTCGTGCACTTTGCACACAAACGTGCACATCTCCACCGAGTTCTGGTCCTCATGGTGCAGCCCGTACGTCTGAGGAGAGGCAACACACACTCTTTATTAAAGGCTTTCTTCTGCTGCAATATGTTATTTAACTTCACAGGGACAGTGCTGTCAGTTAGGGCTGTGCGATTATGGCAAAAATCCTAATCACGATTATTTTGGTCAATAATTGATATCACGATTAATAAAAACGATTATCCATTTACTTTGAAAACATCCATATATTGAAAATAAAAATGTGAACAGTATGTTTTTAACAGTTGATTACCGTGAACTTTAAGTATAATTAAACTGAAAAAAGAATAAAAAAAAAAAAGAAATTACATTTTTGAATTTTTTTTAATAAAAATAATAGTTTTATTTCGATTACATTGTTTTCGTAATCGTTGCAAGCCAAAATCGTAATCGAGATTAAAATACGATTAATTGCACAGCCCTACTGTCAATGCACCAGTTATCCAACATCACTGGTTATTAACACATCACATCACGTGTCACCTGTTAGACGCTTTTACCCAAACACACAGCAGCGACATGCTAACTGTCCCACAGCCTCCCTTTTGACTTTAAAATAGAAATATTGAGTCTATAAGTAAATTGAGAGACTATTTCTGTACCGCAGCACCTTGACTGATGTTGTAAAGTCCCCCTAAAACAACTTAAAGAGGACATCATTATTATCGAAGATGCCAATATTTTGAATGCAGGACTTCTACTTTAATGAGGGTTTTTTTAAACTTCATTTTTGCCATTTTTACTTGGAGATCTGAGCACTTCTTCCTCCTCTGATAAATATTTCCGTGGAGTTTTATGAATTTGCTTCTGGGAGGAAAAGCTGCTTTGTTTCTATTTCTGATTGCATGTACCCGCCCTTCCTACAGGAAGTGATGTCACTCTGAGCGTCTCCAGTTTGTCCTCTGGTGCTGAGTTCAGGATCCAGTATGCAAAAAAAGGATATTTGCCTGTCAGCTATATTTGCGTGGGTTATAAGTTTATCTTGCGGGCGGCCAAGCAGGAAGTGATCTGAATCTTTGCAAATGTTCCGAAACAGTCAAACATGGATCTGAGTTTTAGTGAGAACACTTCAGCGCGTCAGATAGAGAGCTCGGTATAACACACACACTTTGAGAGTGTGTGAGCTGTGTGTGAGCTGTGTGTGAGCTGTGTGTGAGCTGTGTGTGAGCTGTGTGTGAGAGTGTATGAGAGTGTGTGAGCTGTGTGTGAGCTGTGTGTGAGCTGTGTGTGAGAGTGTATGAGAGTGTGTGAGCTGTGTGTGAGCTGTGCGTGAGGGAAAGGCCCTCCGCTTCAGAGATGAAGTCAGAAAAAGGAACCGTGTGAGGTTGTGATACGGGATGTGTGTGTGTGGGTGTGTGTGTGGGGGTGTGTGTGTGGGTGTTCTGTACACTATGGTGACTGAAAGAAGGAAGAGCGTGCAAACTCATGTGGAAGTAAACAAAAACAGTTTCCAAGATAACTAAATATTATGTACACAAATAGAGGTCCAAAGATCAGTGAGAAATCAGGTTATGGTTGTCTGATCGAGCACAAGGAAAGAAATTAGGACTGCTGAATGGAGAGAGTCAAATGTAACTGATAAGAGGCGAGGGTCCAATGCAGGACACACACACACACTCTACACACTGTCCAGGTATTTTAGAGCGCATAGTGTGTGTTCATGTCTGTTTGCATGTTTTGCCTCCTCACGTCCGCTGATATGATCTGCACCACTTCCTCTCATGCTTCAGTTTGTAATCAGAGTTTCAAAACTGAGTTATTGTGCAAAACATATTCCTACAATCTACATCAGTGCTGCTCTGACCTGTTGTTGCTGATATACACCTGAACATCAGCAGGAGAGGACTCTTTAAAGTAGAGACACTACATACTGATATACACCTGAACATCAGCAGGAGAGGACTCTTTAAAGTAGAGACACTACATACTGATATACACCTGAACATCAGCAGGAGAGGACTCTTTAAAGTAGAGACACTACATACTGATATACACCTGAACATCAGCTGGAGAGGACTCTTTAAAGTAGAGACACTACATACTGATATACACCTGAACATCAGCAGGAGAGGACTCTTTAAAGTAGAGACACTACATACTGATATACACCTGAACATCAGCAGGAGAGGACTCTTTAAAGTAGAGACACTACATACTGATATACACCTGAACATCAGCAGGAGAGGACTCTTTAAAGTAGAGACACTACATACTGATATACACCTGAACATCAGCAGGAGAGGACTCTTTAAAGTAGAGACACTACATACTGATATACACCTGAACATCAGCAGGAGAGGACTCTTTAAAGTAGAGACACTACATACTGATATACACCTGAACATCAGCTGGAGAGGACTCTTTAAAGTAGAGACACTACATACTGATATACACCTGAACATCAGCAGGAGAGGACTCTTTAAAGTAGAGACACTACGTACTGATATACACCTGAACATCTACTATTTAAAGAACGGTGCGTTCGCTGCAGGACGACAGATCGGGAGATTTCGAGGTCAGACTGTGAATGGTCTGCAGGTTTTTAAACACGTGAGAAAACCACGCGGCTGAAAATAAAAAACCGCCTGGAGAGAAACGGAGAGTGTCCTCTGGAGTCATGAGACTGCGTGACCTCTGACCCCCAACGCACGGTCGGATTAAAGGATTTCAGGATGAGACGCTTCAGTTTATCACAGAAATCCTGTTAAAAGCACTCCAGAGGTTACACACACACCCCTCTGATAAAACACAGATGCTAATCCCCTCACCTGGATTTCAAAGCCAAACGCCTCCTCCTCCTTCTTCTCCAGCACCACCACCTTCCTGCAAAACAAATCATGTTTATGACACATACATATATTTTTTGTTTGTTAAAGAAACCCTATTACGCTCTTTGGGGGTGTTCCTAAATGTACATGATAGGCTAAGGGGCGGGACATCTCTAGGCTGTTGACCAATCACAACAGAGCCGGCCAGCTAAACCAATCAGAGCAGACTGGGCTCTGGTCTCACAGGAAATAATACTTTAAAAGTACACAATACTCTCATTTCTTCACGAAAAAGGACCAAAAAAACCAACGTATTAATCAGTTATTATTCAAGCTGACCTTTATGAAGTGTGTATTTGAATTTCTAACAAACATATTAATAATCTCTTTATTTTATAGCCCACAGGATAAAGAAGATAATTGTTAGTAGCAGCTTCCCTAAGAACTGAAAGCCCTTTATCCACTCGGTAAAGATGGTGATTGTTTTGCATTATTCTGTGAGCCTGCTGGTGAATAGTTAATCAGTTGTCCTGCCCGCTGCATGAGAGCAGCAGTGTTCACGCCGTACAGACGGTTACTGTACGTCTGCAGGGAACAGAGCAGCTCTGTGCAGCGCTGAGATATCTGCTCATGAGATTTAGATAAAGACAGAGAGGAATCCAGAGCGACGTGAACATCTCCTCCGCCTGCGTGCAACTCGGAATATCATGAATACTGACCGGCACAGAAAGAGGCAGTGAATACCACATTTATTTAAGCGATTTTACACATGATTCAGTCTGTGAGGAAATCACTAGTCAAAACCTTTTAGTTTGAAAAAGTGGGGCATCCAGAGGGACGCAAACATCTCCTCTCATCCTCCGCCTAAAGTAGATCCAGAAAACGCTGCAAGAGGCTAGGAATCCCGCATGATTTGCTCCATAAAACATATAAGAAACGGTGAGGAATCACTAGTCAATCCTAGAGCCCATGACGATGTCTATTTATTTGACACATATTCTGAAATCCATAAGTATTCACTTTAGGGCTGTGCGATTATGGCAAAAATCATAATCACGATTATTTTGGTCAATAATTGATATCACGATTATTAAATACGATTATTCATTGACTTTGAAAACATCCATTTATTGAACTTTTAAATACAAATAATAATTTGAACAGTATCTTTTTAACTGTTGATTTCCCTGAGCGTATAATTCAACTGAAAAACCAATACAAAAATAAATAAAATGATACATTTAAATAAATAATATAAATATAATAAATACCAATAAACAAGATCAACAAATATTTTGGAGCGCACTTCAACAAGCTACTAAACATATATAAATATGATAAATACAAATACATTTGATCAAATATGTTGCACTGTCACAACCTAGCAAAGCAAAATAATCATTTTTTTCGATTATGTTGTTTTCGTAATTGTGGCAGGCCAAAATCGTAATTGCGATTAAAATACGATTAATTGCACAGCCCTAATTCACTTCATAAAAATATCAAACAAGAGCAACGTGAAACTAAGAGGCAGAAAAATCCGAAAGACTAGAAATCCCACGGAGCGTTTTACAGATTTCACACATGATTCAGTCAAACTGTGAGAAAGACAAGTCAAAATGTCCCAGAGCCTAAAATGATGCATTCAAGTGTCTTCATTTATCTGACAAGTCATCTGAAACCCATAAATATTCCCTTCATAATAAAACAGAAGCCCAATACAACTGTGAATATCATGACAACTAAGACGAGAGACTCTAAATCCCACATTTATCTGGTCTTTAAAAAGTGGAAACTGACAGATGTTTCTCATGATTCTCTCTATCAAACATCAGAACAAGTCTAAATATCCTCGAGCCCAGGAGGGGGTCTACGGATGTGTTATCTGCTATGATCTAACACCCATAAATATTCACTTCATGATAATATAAAACTGAAAAAAGCTTCACATTTGAGTTTGAGAAGGTGGGGAATCCAGAGCGCTGTGTGTGTGAGAGTGAGTGAGTGAGTGTGTGAGTGTGTGAGTGTGTGAGTGTGTGAGTGTGTGAGTGTGTGTGTGTGTGAGTGTGTGTGTGTGAGTGTGTGAGTGTGTGAGTGTGTGTGTGTGAGTGTGTGAGTGTGTGTGTGTGAGTGTGTGTGTGTGAGTGTGTGTGTGTGAGTGTGTGAGTGTGTGTGTGTGAGTGTGTGTGTGTACCTCTGTGGTTCAGGAGTCAGAGTTAATGGTTTCCACTTCTGCAGCCCACCGCCCTGGAGGAGAAAACGAAACATGATTCGAGTGAAACACCTGCGTGACGTTAACCATGACTCATCAGGATTTCCCCCAAAACACACACACACACACACACACACACACACCAACCGGTCCAGCAGGGTAAAACACACACACACTCCCGCATACACACACACGTGTTTGTGTTTGCTGAAGCGTCAGAGAGCAGAAACCTGAAAGTCCAGTCGCTCTGCTCCGTGTTTACTTCACTGTCACAACATCAGGATAAAATTAGCCCCAGTTCACACAGATGATGCCTTCAGGGACTCACACTGATGATGCCTTCAGGGACTCACACTAATGGCCTTTCTGACACTAAGCACCATGAGGGGAAGTTTGTCAGAAAACCCAGACAGAGGAAGTATCACTGAAGACACCTTTGTAGACTCACTAGCACGCATTACAAAGTCTAACATGTTGTTTATTGCAGATTCTGACTTCTTTATTCTATTCAACCTATACTACAACAGTCTCAGTTTCCCCTGTGAGTATTCAAGTATTTCTGATACTCAAGTCAGAAGGAAATGACTTCATGTTGGGAAGTGTGTTTGTCTCGATGGAAACACATTTTTTTTAATTAATTCAAAGTTAAAGTAATGTTTAAAAGCAGAAATCTACTTAAATGCTTAAGTTTTATTTCATATTAACGTGACTGTCTTCAGGGTTTGGAGGAACTGAGAGACATTGTCATATTTAGCGACATTTTATGGTCAAAAACATCAATTAATGTAGAAAGTAAGCTTCAGGTTAACCCATAAAGAACTGAGTGTAGACCTTAAGACTTCCAGATGTTATTTAATTAAAAAAGGATGGAATTATAATCAAGAAAATGTTTTATAAAAGTCATTTGAAGAAACTGGAAACTTTTGACACGAAAAACAACTGAAAGGTTAAAAATAGTTAATAAATGAATTAATCGCCTAATCAGCTGTTTAATATATAAATATTATTAACATCATATTTGTAGGGGTGCAACGAACACATTTCCCAGATGAACTGATGTTTTTGGTTTATTAAATGTCAGCTAATTGTGAAAAATGTTCATCAAAGTCTTAAAATGTCTTGTTTTGTCTAAAAGTAAAAGATATTAAATTGAATAAAATGCAAACGGAGAGAGAAGCAGCAGATCTCCAGATTTAAGAGCATTTCTGCTTAAACTCTGCTGTTTTTTGCAGAAATCTGTCCGTCTGTGAATGCGTGAACGTCCGTGTACAAGTTCTACTTTCTGCTGTAAACACGGAGTCACAATAAGCTCTTTGAGAGATAGAGCGTCTACCTGAGTGTGAGAATACGGAAACGCTCCGTCTGCAGTAAACCTCTCAAAGAAAGAAGTCTCTGTGACGTCTCGCTACGCCCAAAGCTCACAGGACTGCAGCTCAAAGAGGGCTTTATCCAGAGTGTGTGTGTGTGTGTGTGTGTGTGTGTCCACCCCCTCCACATGTGTGCAGATGTGGAACTCAGATCTAACCAAGTACCAAAAGGAGGGAAATACACTTCACCGGCTCTTTCTATGGACTGGAGTGTGAGGATCACAATGCTCCGATCCTTAAATAAATACGATTTCAAAATAAAAGCGCACTGAAGCAAACGTGTAAATATAAGCGTAATGTGAAAGTTAAGTACAGGCACCTCAAAGCATTTTTTGTTTGTGTTATTGTGAATTAAAAAAAAAGGCGCTTTCAAAATAAAGTTTGATTGATTCAAACGCTCCGATCCACAGTGTAACAAACATAGTATTTCAAAATAAAAGCGCACTGTAGATAAGCAGAGTTTTAAACTAACAACAAGTTAGTCTGGATCAGTTCAACCATAATTACAGAAGCACATTCCCCCTCTTTCATTCATTGGGTTAGCATTAGCTCGTGTTGTGTAATATGTTTACTCTCCAGTCTGGATATCAGTACAGTATGTAGTGTCTCTACTTTAAAGAGTCCTCTCTTGCTGATGTTCAGGTGTATATCAGTATGTAGTGTCTCTACTTTAAAGAGTCCTCTCCTGCTGATGTTCAGGTGTATATCAGTATGTAGTGTCTCTACTTTAAAGAGTCCTCTCTTGCTGATGTTCAGGTGTATATCAGTATGTAGTGTCTCTACTTTAAAGAGTCCTCTCCTGCTGATGTTCAGGTGTATATCAGTGTGTAGTGTCTCTACTTTAAAGAGTCCTCTCCTCCTGATGTTCAGGTGTATATCAGTATGTAGTGTCTCTACTTTAAAGAGTCCTCTCCTGCTGATGTTCAGGTGTATATCAGTATGTAGTGTCTCTACTTTAAAGAGTCCTCTCCTGCTGATGTTCAGGTGTATATCAGTATGTAGTGTCTCTACTTTAAAGAGTCCTCTCCTGCTGATGTTCAGGTGTATATCAGTGTGTAGTGTCTCTACTTTAAAGAGTCCTCTCCTCCTGATGTTCAGGTGTATATCAGTATGTAGTGTCTCTACTTTAAAGAGTCCTCTCCTGCTGATGTTCAGGTGTATATCAGTATGTAGTGTCTCTACTTTAAAGAGTCCTCTCCTGCTGATGTTCAGGTGTATATCAGTATGTAGTGTCTCTACTTTAAAGAGTCCTCTCCTGCTGATGTTCAGGTGTATATCAGTGTGTAGTGTCTCTACTTTAAAGAGTCCTCTCCTGATGATGTTCAGGTGTATATCAGTATGTAGTGTCTCTACTTTAAAGAGTCCTCTCCTGATGATGTTCAGGTGTATATCAGTATGTAGTGTCTCTACTTTAAAGAGTCCTCTCCTGCTGATGTTCAGGTGTATATCAGTATGTAGTGTCTCTACTTTAAAGAGTCCTCTCCTGATGATGTTCAGGTGTATATCAGTATGTAGTGTCTCTACTTTAAAGAGTCCTCTCCTGCTGATGTTCAGGTGTATATCAGTATGTAGTTTCTCTACTTTAAAGAGTCCTCTCCTACTGATGTTCAGGTGTATATCAGTATGTAGTGTCTCTACTTTAAAGAGTCCTCTCCTGCTGATGTTCAGGTGTATATCAGTGTCTCTACTTTAAAGAGTCCTTCCTTTGTGTGTGTTTGTTTATAGCCAGTAGGAAACCAGGTCAAACATAAACAGTGTACAGTAAATAAAACCATGTTTCCTCAACAGTTAAATATAACTCTTGTGAAAGTCATTTTAAAGCATTAAATGCTGATTTTAACCAGTTTACATAATATTAAAGTGACAAAACAAGACATTTTATGACCTTATATCATTGAAACATTGTTATATTCATCTTTAATGAAAGTAATTGAGAGTTGCAAACATACTTTATTAGTTTTCTATTTTCCAGCAGCTGTTGGTAGCGCTTTATTTTTGAAATGTACAACATAATTATAATAATACAAATGTATTCCATATTATTCTGAGGCATTTAATAAGTCTCATTTGTATTTTGCCTCGTCTAAAACCTCTTTGCATCGTCTATCGCAGCTGCTTCATAAATCACTCTGAGTGTTTGGGTGGTCTGCACTGAGGAAGAGCTACTGTTGACCTCCACACACACACACACACACACACACACACACACATCACTTCAGGGGACATTACATTGACTTACATGCATTCACTTCAAATCTGAAAAACACAAAAGACTTCAAATTAAAATCGTATAAAGCGAGTTAATTAGAGTTAAATGTACTTCTCCTACCTTCCACAATCATTACTTTGTGGAAAAAGTTGATATAAACAAAGTGTTTGAGTCTTGTGGAGCTCAAACATTGAGAACATTTACTTTCAGAGTGGATTTAGAAGCTGAACAACTCTAAAAACTCAGAGTAAAGTGATTAAAGCTGATAGTGTATATTAAATAAAGTTAAATACACTTCTCCTACCTTCTACAATCATTACTTTGTGGAAACATTCTGATATAAACAAAGTGTTTGAGTCTCGTGGTTCAAGCTGAAGGTATGAGCAGATTAAAGTTACATGCAGTTGAAAAAGTTGATAATAACAAAGTGTTTGAGTCTTTTCGGAACAATTAGAGCTTAAAAAGTGAGTCAATTAACTTTACTGGTGGATTTAGAAGCTGAAAACCCTCCAAACTTCAGAGTAAAGTGATTAAAGCTGTAGCTTAGATGAATCAAAGTGCCTCGTACCTTCTTGAAGCTCCGGGGCAGAGTTCCTCCGGAGTACGCCAGGCTCTTGCTCAGAGACTTGTAGTTGTACACCTCGGAGCAGTTTGTCTCCTGAGTCCTGCAGCTGTCCGACTTAGTGGACAGGAAATATATGTCACTTTCCTGAGAGCCATGCCCGCTGGAGTTCACCTTCTTCAGCCTCCTGAACGTCATGGTGCCGGGGAGCCGGAGAGATGCTGCAGCTGGGGAAACAACACACTAATGCTGCTGAGAGGCTGTGGGGGCGGGGCTTATATCCTGAAGGGTCCGTCAGCAGCCAATAGGAAGCCTGACGTGCATCCTCTCATGGTGCGCTCAGGGACACCTCGGAGGTTTCTGCTTCACTTGTTTACTCAGATATTGTAGCACAAGTAGAAGTACTCAGATCTTGTAGTAAAAGTAGAAGTACTCAGATCTTGTACTTGAGTAAAAGTAGAAGTACTCAGGTCTTGTACTGTACTTGAGTAAAAGTAGAAGTACTCAGGTCTTGAAGTAAAAGTAGAAGTACTCAGATCTTGGACTTGAGTAAAAGTAGAAGTACTCAGGTCTTGTAATTGAGTAAAAGTAGAAGTACTCAGGTCTTGTACTTGAGTAAAAGTAGAAGTACTCAGGTCTTGTAATTGAGTAAAAGTAGAAGTACTCAGGTCTTGAAGTAAAAGTAGAAGTACTCAGGTCTTGTACTTGAGTAAAAGTAGAAGTACTCAGGTCTTGTACTTGAGTAAAAGTAGAAGTACTCAGGTCTTGTACTTGAGTAAAAGTAGAAGTACTCAGGTCTTGTACTTGAGTAAAAGTAGAAGTACTCAGGTCTTGTAATTGAGTAAAAGTAGAAGTACTCAGGTCTTGAAGTAAAAGTAGAAGTACTCAGGTCTTGTACTTGAGTAAAAGTAGAAGTACTCAGGTCTTGTACTTGAGTAAAAGTAGAAGTACTCAGGTCTTGTACTTGAGTAAAAGTAGAAGTACTCAGATCTTGTACTTGAGTAAAAGTAGAAGTACTCAGATCGTGTACTTGAGTAAAAGTAGAAGTACTCAGATTGTGTACTTGAGTAAAAGTAGAAGTACCAGAGTGTAGGAATACTCTGTTTCAGTAAAAGTCCTGCATTCAAAATGTTCCTCAAGTAAAAGTAGAAAAGTATTCTCATCAAAATATAGTTAAAGTAGCGACAGTAAAAGTAGTCATTGTGCAGATTGGTCCATTTCAGAATAATATATATGATATGTTTTATAATGATTGATCATGAAAGTGTTCTCAAAGCTGGTAAAGGTGCAGCTAGTTTGAATGACTTTGTATACTGCAGGGTAGCTTGTGGATTTACTCCAGGTGGAACTAAAGTCTGATTTAACACTTGATTATATTTCACATCATTCATCCAGATCTGTGAAGTAACTAAAGGGATTAAATACATGTAGTGGAGGAAAAGTACACCATGTACCTCTGAACTGTAGTGGAGTAGAAGTACACAGTAGTATAACATGGAGTAGCATTTTGACACAATTGTTCTTCAGTATTCCCATTGAATGCAACATATACTTTTACCTCTCTACATGTTGGAGACAGATAAAGTCAGTCATGGTTTGTCCTGCAGCATTTGAATGCAGCATGTGTTGCTGGCAGACTAACCTCTCATTAAAGTGAAGGGCTGACATTACTCAGGGAAAACTAATATGTATCCTCTGCACAAACTCCTGCTTTGACAACACAGAGATTACGTTTTGAGAAGAGGAATTACATTATAAAGAGGCAGAGAGAAAACTATTATTTACAGTCAGTGGATCCTGAGAGGACAGCGCCTCCTGGTGGTGGAAGAAAGAATCCACAACATAATAAAGACAGGAACCAAAGAGTGAAGTTAATATGATTTATTAAAATCTTTACACAGTGAGTTAATTCAGGCGTAATACATGATCCGGATATATTGAAACGATATGACTGATTAAAGCATTTAAATAACAACCAATTAATTCAAACAAAACTCAATTAATAAGTTAGATCACACACACACACACACACACACACACACACACACACACACACACACACACACACACACACACACACACACACACACACACACACACACACACACACACACACACACACACACACACACACACACACACACACACACACACACACACACACACACACACACACACACACACACACACACACACACACACACACACACACACACACACTCCTGTTCCCCAAAACACTTTCAAGTATCTTCTGCAAAGGTACGGAGGCCCAGGAGTGACAATAATAATACAAAATTAATAAATTAAGGCTTTAATTGTATTACATTTGTATAGAAAGCACTACATTTGTAATATTTGAAGACACACATTCATACTGTCCAGACTACAAACTACAGATCAATTTAAAATAATGTTCACCTGTTTCTAAAAGATACGAGTACTGTGGCGCTGATCTTGTTTATAAGATATATCAATTAGTAGCCGCGGACGTAAACAACAACAACAACGTGACGTCCGTGAAAACAAAGCTGACGTCTGAAACGTGTTTTAAAATATATTTTTTGCTCTTTTGTCACTCCCGGGCCTCCGTAGTCATGTATGATAAAAGTCCCAAAAACATAGTAAATATGATGTTTTACAGCCACAGAGAAAACAGCAACACCACGTGGATAATATCCAAAGTGCACGACGACACTCTACTAACAGCCGACATAAAGGGAACAGGTGAAGGCACAGGAAGCCGAGTACACTTCTGTTAGCGTGATATATATTCACTTTAAATATGGCAGCGAGAGTGGAGTATTAATACAAAAAAAACATCATATTTCCACGATGCAAACTAACCGGAGTTTCCATACAGCGCCATGCGTCGGTTACAGAGATGCAGGTTTTCTTCTACAACATTCAGACTGCTTTGATTTATTCCTAAAAAGGGGGTTATTTACAGTAAACCAGTGCAGGGGCAGGGGCTCCTTTTATTTGAAGAAACCGGAAGACTTGCTCGGAGGACCCATCAGCATGCGGGCCTGGTTCTTGTGAGTGATGTGGATCTGGAATAAGAAGAAAAGTCCCGTTTATTTAAAATATAATAAAATCATTAACACAATTCTGAGTTTTAGAAAAGCATTTAAAGCATTAAAAATGTGCGTTGTTGTTTTTAAACCTGGATTTAATTGGTCCTTATAATTGATTTAACGAAAGCTCTGAGATATAATGATATCATCTGTAATGTGGATATCATGACTGAGTGGTTCAAGCAGTTGAAATTCAGAATTAAAAATGTTAATTATCAAAAAAACAAAACAAGTTATTTATAAAACATTTTAAAGTTGTTGTTTTTTAAAGGAAAGAAATTGTTAAATAATTTTAAAATCTTCCCAAATAAATACAAAATCTAATTAAAGGAAAAAACGTTTTATTAAAAAATGAAAAAAAAGTTTAATACTTTCCAAAAAAATATATATAAAGGAAAAAAACTAATTTAAATTTTTCAAATGTTTTTTAAATTAATTAAACATTGAAAAACAAAAGTTTAATTCATTTCTAAAAATAAAAATAAAAATGTATTCAGCCATGAGATATTACACACACTTTAATATCACTAAGCTTTGTGGTTCCAGATCTGTTCACATCTACCGTCATTAATAATTAGTAAATACAAAACTGTGAGTGTCATTATTAGTGTTCACCGTGCAGGGAGGCTGCATCCACGGCTCCCCGTCGATCTGCATCGGCAAGGCCTTCTTCACCCTGAGGGAGCACAAGATCCAGAGCAGAGGTTAGATCAACAGAGGGAAGATCAGCAGAGGGAAGATCAGCAGAGGGAAGATCAGCAGAGGGAAGATCAGCAGAGGGAAGATCAGCAGAGGGAAGATCAGCAGAGGGAAGATCAGCAGAGGGAAGATCAACAGAGGTTAGATCAGCAGAGGGAAGATCAGCAGAGGTTAGATCAGCAGAGGGAAGATCAGCAGAGGGAAGATCAGCAGAGGGTCAGAACAACCACCTTAATGTGGGATTTGAATATAAAAGAACACGCAGCATGCAGGATGATTGTGATGCAAAGAGACAAGGATCATCGTCTGAGTTGAGCCTCGTTAAGAGCCTGAAGGCAACACGTCTGAGCGTTTCTCTGCTGGAGCCTGAAGGCAACACGTCTGAGCGTTTCTCTGCTGGAGCCTGAAGGCAACACGTCTGAGCGTTTCTCTGCTGGAGCCTGAAGGCAACACGTCTGAGCGTTTCTCTGCTGGAGCCTGAAGGCAACACGTCTGAGCGTTTCTCTGCTGGAGCCTGAAGGCAACACGTCTGAGCGTTTCTCTGATGGAGCCTGAAGGCAACACGTCTGAGCGTTTCTCTGCTGGAGCCTGAAGGCAACACGTCTGAGCGTTTCTCTGCTGGAGCCTGAAGGCAACACGTCTGAGCGTTTCTCTGCTGGAGCCTGAAGGCAACACGTCTGAGCGTTTCTCCGCTGGAGCCTGAAGGCAACACGTCTGAGCGTTTCTCTGATGGAGCCTGAAGGCAACACGTCTGAGCGTTTCTCTGCTAGAGCCTGAAGGCAACACGTCTGAGCGTTTCTCTGCTAGAGCCTGAAGGCAACACGTCTGAGCGTTTCTCTGATGGAGCCTGAAGGCAACACGTCTGAGCGTTTCTCCGCTGGAGCCTGAAGGCAACACGTCTGAGCGTTTCTCCGCTGGAGCCTGAAGGCAACACGTCTGAGCGTTTCTCCGCTGGAGCCTGAAGGCAACACGTCTGAGCGTTTCTCTGTTTTTATCTCATTTGATTTTTATCCAGGATTTAAATATGTAAAGTTAATTATTTCAGCACGTTACATATATCCACATACTACCAAAAATATATAAAGAATTTCTTCACAAATACATTTGAATTAAAGAACAAAAAAGTCTCTAAAGGTATTAAATTAAAAAAATGTCATGACCGTGATAAAGGTCTGATTAATTCATTCATAATTTTAGATTGGATTGAGAGACCCTCAGTATTGTGTGTTGACTTTTAGAAGTAGTTCCTGACCTGATGGTGATCTGCGAGGTCTTGGCCAGCCTCACGGCGCTCTTCAGCCCGGTGTAGATCTGACCCATCTCCATCGCCCCCCCCCAGACCCACCACCTCCAGACGCCGGTCACTCAGGTCTGAAACACACACACACACACACACACACCGTTTAATATCACACACACACACACACACACACACACACACACACACACACACACACACACACACCACACACACCACACACACACACACACACACACACACACACACACACACACACACACACACACACACACACACACACACACACACACACACACACACACACACACCCTACATTTGTATTTATTTAGTTTATATTAGGAGTTTTTTTTACTTGGTTTTATTTGAGCTTCATCAAGATTTATTTTTAATGTTTAATTTTGGTTTGATCTAAATTAATGAATTAACTTTTAGTATTTCTTTAGTTTACTTGTAGTCATATTTATGTTCTGCTGCCCTCTGGTGGCCAGATGTTGAAACACCAGATGAAGAAGTCAGACTTCGATGTCATGAATAAAGTGCTGTGAATAAAGAGAAAGCTGGTCACGCCATGTGATACGTTTGTCCTCTGGATGCAAGCTTCCCTTTACCAATATAAATCAACTTTAAAATTGCGCACACATGAACAAGCATTAGTTTGTTCCACTCCTCTGATCCTCAGCAGCTGGAAGTGCTCCTGCTGGAGGTGTGAATGATCACCTGTTTACTGAACCCTCCACTGAGCAGCTCAATGAGGCGGTGCAGCCAGCTGTGAGCGTTCTGCTCCTCAGTGATTACAACACTCATTAATGAGGCTCTCAGAGGGTCTTTAACACAACCATTAAACCCAGTGAGTGAAACTGGGAACCTCTTCATCTGTCTCTGGGTGTTACAGTGGAGGCCCGTGCAGGTTTGAATACATATAATAAATATAGTCAAATGTAAATACCTTGGGAGGTGAATTTGAGAACCTCGGGGTCCACGATGACCTCGGGCTCCTCCGGACCCCCTCCCCCTGTTTTAGCGTCCCCTTTCTTGCTCTCGCCCCACAGGTTGGAGCCGCCGTGCATGCTGGGAATGTTCAGGATGGCGATGCCTTCCAGAGACAAACCGCTGAGATCCAGGGGAGTACCTGAGCACTGAGGGGGGGGGGGGGCAGAGGAGTCAGTACGTTATATTTAACAAACAAAAAAATACAGAAGACGAGGGGTTATATTTAGGGGAAAATAATCAGATTTTAAGGCGAATCAAATCTTAAAATGTCGACACAGAAGCATCAGTACTTGGTGTTTAACAAACACACACAGAGCTGATGAATCCGTCTCACCTCGATCTCCAGGCTCTCGCTCAGCTTCTTACACGAAGCAGAGATCGTTTCTGACGTGGCGAACTCAAAGTACCACAGCTTGTTCTTCATCCTGCACGAACAAGAGTGTGTGTGCGTGTGTGTGTGTGTGTGTGTGTGTGTGTGTGTGTGTGTGTGTGTGTGTGTGTGTGTGTGTGTGTGTGTGTGACAGTACAGTGATTATCTCACACAGCTCAAGTGTCCACCTGAGACCAATACAAGGAGCTGAAAGAGGTTACAATTATTTATGATTTGCTTAAAATCATATTTCTGATATCATATTAGGACGGTGTAGAAGGGCTTGAAAAAATACAGAAGAGGAGGGGTTATATTTAGAGGAATATAATCAGATTTTAAGGGCAATCAAATCTTAAAATGTACAAGAAAAGCATTGAAACATGTTAACATATTGACTGCGTACCTGCTGTTGAACTTCTGCGGGTGTTTCTCCCTCATGGTGTGAAAGCGGTGAGCGATGGAGGCGTCCTGAAAACACAACGTCTCAGATCAACACCCACACACACACACTGAGACACACACACACATTGAGGGACACACACACCGAGAAAGACACACACACACACACACACACACTGAGACACACACACACTGAGACACACACACTGAGGGACACACACACCGAGAAAGACACACACACACACACACACACTGAGACACACACACACACACTGAGGGACACACACACACACCGAGAAAGACACACACACACACACACTGAGAAACACACACCGAGAAAGACACACTGACACACACACACACACACACACACACACACACACACACACACTGAGACACACACACTGAGAGAGACACACACACACACACACACACACACACACACTGAGGCACACACACTTCCTGTGATGTTGTGTGTGCGTGTGCGTGTGTGCGTGTGCGTGTGCGTGTGCGTGTGCGTGTGCGTGTGTGTGTGTGTGTGTGTGTGTGTGTGTGCGTGTGTGTGTGTGTGTGTGTGTGTGTGTGTGTGTGTGTGTGTGTGTGTGTGTGTGTGTGTGTGTGTACTCACCACTCCGATGGAGAAGTAGTTGTTGATGATCTCGTAGGGCACGGGGTCTCCTTTCTCCTGGTTCTGATCTGTGAGCACCTGAACGCTCCATCGGTCCATCAGGACCTCCGTGCTGCCTTCAATGTCCCTCAGGATCCGGGTCAGATCCTCTCCGTCGTACCCTGCAAAATAAAAACACATAAACACATTTTATTTGTATTTGTTATTTATTTTTTCTGGGTTTAAGTACGTTTTACAAGTCAGGACTCATATTTCCTGAACATGATGCAGCACACCTACCGTATATTATTTCATTCTATAGTCTATCCTAATATTATATTAAATATATATATGGGGGTGGGGGAGAAATCAGAATCAGAATCAGAATACCTTTATTCGTCCCAGTATGCAATAATGTGTCGATACATGGAGGGCAAGTATTATCTATATAAATTATTAATTTTGCAAATAGAAATTAAACTTCGAGGCAGACACAAAACCTAAACTGTGATTTTAGGAAACCTGTTCCATATATATCAAAAAAAACTTTTAGTCCAATAAAGACAGGAGTCTGAAGAGCTGTTTAAACTTCCAATCTTTTTTCTGCGCTAAAGTACGGCGAATCCATGTGACCGCAAAGTTGGGTGATTTTGAGCTCTGGATTACCCATTCATTCCTCTGGGGGAAAACGTTTTAGGCAATTTGTGTGAAATAATAATTAATAATGATGATAATTGTGACTTAAATATCGTGATTATATCTTATGTTTTATAATATTCATATGATATCCAAATAATGTATAACCAGAATGACAAAACAAAAATAAGCTCCGTTCATAATTCTTATGAATCTTTTTCTGGAGCATTTAAATGTGTGATTGTTTTATATATACTTCCCCAAACATCTGTACAGTAGACAAGGCAATGAATGCCACCATAACATAAAAACCAATCTAGACAAACATGTGGAGAAGTTCCCTTTGAGAGAATATAATTTGACACAAAAGCAGCAACAAAGCTATCATTATTATTATAATTATTAAGTCTCATTAATCTCTCACCTCCCCCCCACCGCAGACAGCGAGCGAGGTCGTTTCCTGTCCCCAGAGGAAGCACAGCGACGGGGGGGCGCACCACCAGGTTGGCTTTGTCTGAGGAAACAGGAAGTGCGTCACAATGAAGTTCAGCAGAAGAAGAAGAAGAAGGAGGTCATCATAACATGGACGTGTGTTTTTAAATATGATTCTCACCTATAGCGTCGAGGATCCAGCCCACGGTGCCGTCCCCCCCACAGACCAGGATCCTGTAGTTCTGCAGAGTCTTGAAGAAACTCAGACTGAGGGAGAGGGGGAAGATGGTTACACAGTTTATTATAGACTCAAACGTTTAAAGACAGCAAACTAATAAAAAAATGTGTTAAAATATTACAACAATTTACGAACATTAACAGAAATTTACAAAAATGTACGAACATTTACAAAAAATGTAAAAAATGTACGAAAATGTACAAAAAATACAAAAATGTACCGAAAAACGTAAAAATGTACGAAAACTTAAAAATTCAAAAACACAACAATTTCAAAAATGTACAAAAGTTAACAAAAATGTAAAAAAGTTTACAAAAAATGTTAATACGAAAATTATAGTATAATAAGTTCTTGTTACACAAATTTGTTAAAGACTTAAAAGTTTAAAGAAAACATACAAATTCAAAAATGACAAAAACAATTAAAAACATTTAGAAAAATGTACTAAAATGTACAAAATATTTACACAAAAATTTAAAATTGTTTACAAAAGTTTACAACAAAATGTAATACATTTGCATTTCAATTCCTTAGTCATGCGTAAAAAACAGTATACAAGAAAGTGATTTTTATTTTAAAGTTGGACGTTTTGTCCTTAAGAATCTGACTGTCTGTTATTCACACTTTACTATATACATTTTTGTTAGGAGCTAAAGGGTACACCTCACTCAAACCCCTGACAAAATGTATTTTCAGATTAAAATATTTCACATTTCTCTAAATCTCCCTCACTCACCCGGGTCCCGGTCCGTCGGTGATCAGGTTGTTTACCTGCCGTGGATTCAGTAAATACTGAAACTTATGCAGGACTCTGAAACACAGAGATCCAGAGTAAACAAAAGAGCATGTAAACAACATTTATTTATGATTGTATATCTTTGATACAATATTATACCGATATGATTAAATATTATCACAATATAAGATAATATTATCACGATATAAGATAATATTATCACGATATAAGATAATATTATCACGATATAAGATGATATTATCACGATATAAGATGATATTATTACGATATGATACAATATTATCACGATATGATACAATATTATCACGATATAAGATAGTATTATCATGGTATGATATTATATTATCACGATATAAGATAATATTATCACGGTATGATACGATATAAGATAATATTATCACGATATAATATAATATTGTCACGATATGATACGATATAAGATAATATTATCACGATATAATATAATATTGTCACGATATGATACGATATAAGATAATATTATCACGATACAAGATACTATTATCACAATATGGTACAATATTATCGCGATATACGATAATATTATCACGCTATGATACAATATTATCACGATATAAGATAATATTATCACAATATGATACAATATTATCACGATATGATACAATATTATCACGATATAATATAATATTATCATGGTATGATATAATATTATCACAATATTAGATAATATTATCACGATATGATACGATATAAGATAATATTATCACGATATAAGATAATATTGTCACAATATGATACGGTGTAAGATAATGTTATCACGATATAAGATAATATTATCACGATATGATACGATATAAGATACTATTATCACGATATGGTACAATATTATCGCGATATAGGATAATATTATCACGCTATGATACAATATTATCACGATATAAGATAATATTATCACGATATGATGAGGACTCTGAAACACAGAGATCCAGAGTAAACAAAGAGCATGTAAACAAAATGTATTTATGTTTGTATATCTCTGTTTCTGGACTCACCTCTCTCCCTGCTTGCCTCCACTCTTAGGGTTCACAAACACCAGCAGAGGGTGGGTGTTCTCCACCGGGCTGATCTGAGGAACGATATAAATAACGTTTTAATTTGACTTACTTTATTCAATGTACAGGCAGCAAAATTAAGTACATTTTTCTTAACATTTTTCTTTAAATTTGAGGTACTTATTCTTTACTTGTATGTTATTTATGCCACTTTATCGCTTATTTACTTGCTATTGAGCAGATTCATGTTACAAAATATAAATCAACTAATAAATTATATATAATAATAATAAAACATAACATGAATAAATATAACATGAATAAAAATCCATTCAGTATTATACAATAAAATGATTTATTTCAACATATGAGGATATAGTACAAATGTAAAATAAAAGGTAAAATTACATTTAAAAAATAAAAATATTTATATACACATATAAAGTTAAAGTCAAATTGCGTAATAAAAATACAAAATAAAAATAACATGTATGTACAAATAGGAATCTAAAGGTATGAATGTACATTAAATATATAAAATTAATCTTAAATGACTGTAGGTTCTTGTATTTATAATTATAATCCAATAATTTAATATATATGATTCTGTAATGTACCGCACTGGATAATAAGTAGTTTTAATTTCGGCAATCAAAGTATATGTTGATGCTTTACTTACTTGCACACCTTGGAATGCAGGACCTTTAATATTTCTTTCACTGTAGTTTTGCAACTTTTAGTTAGATTACTTTTCCCCCCTCTGGTAGATGTCCAGCATTGATTAAATATTATGGGATGTAATACCTGCAGCACTTGTCCATCAGGAGTCGTGTTGAGCTCGCTGTCGTCCACAGACCCCGAGCAGCCGTTCTTCACGATGTTCGGTCTCTCCTTCAGGGCGAAACAAGAGAAACACTGAATAAATCACAATATATATAACCTGCCAGTGTGTGTGTGTGTGTGTGTGTGTGTGTGTGTGTGTGTGTGGTGTGTTGTGTGCGTGTGTGGTGAGTGATGAGGTGGGAGTGATGGTGTGTGTGATGAAATGAGTGATGTGAGTGCGTGCGTGGTGTGGAGTGCGTGCAGTGGAGTGGCGTGCGTGAGTGTGTGAGTGTGTGGTGTGTCTGTGTGTGGTGTGTGTGTGGTGATGTGTGAGTGTGTGTGTGAGTGTGAGTGGTGCTGGTGTGTGTGTGTGGTGTGTGTGTGAGTGTGTGTGTGTTTGCGTGCTGGAGTGCGTGTCGTGCGATGTGAGTGCAGTGACGTGAGTGAGTGCGTGAGTGGTGAGTGAGTGAGTGAGTGAGTGAGTGAGCGTGTGAGAGTGTGTGTGTGTGTGTGTGTGTGTGAGTGTGTGTGTGAGTGTGAGTGTGAGTGTGAGTGTGAGTGTGAGTGTGTGTGTGTGTGAGTGTGTGTGTGTTTGAGTGATGGAGTGAGTGAGTGAGTGAGTGAGTGAGTGAGTGAGTGAGTGAGCGTGCGAGTGTGTGTGTGTGTGTGTGTGTGTGTGTGTGAGTGTGTGTGTGAGTCTGTGTGTGAGTGTGTGTGTTTGAGTGATGGAGTGAGTGAGTGATGGAGTGAGTGAGTGAGTGAGTGAGTGAGTGAGTGAGTGAGTGAGTGAGTGAGTGAGTGTGTGTGTGTGTGTGTGTGTGTGTGTGTGAGTGTGTGTGTGTGTGTGAGTGTGTGTGTGAGTCTGTGTGTGAGTGTGTGTGTGTGTGTTTGAGTGTGAGTGTGTGTGTGTGTGTGAGTGTGTGTGTGAGTCTGTGTGTGAGTGTGTGTGTGTGTGTTTGAGTGATGGAGTGAGTGAGTGAGTGAGTGAGTGTGAGTGTGTGTGTGTGTGTGTGTGTGTGTGTGAGTGTGAGTGTGAGTGTGTGTGAGTGTGTGTGTGTGTGTGTGAGTGTGAGTGTGAGTGTGTGTGAGTGTGTGTGTGTTTGAGTGATGGAGTGAGTGAGTGAGTGAGTGAGTGAGTGAGTGCGTGCGTGCGTGAGTGTGAGTGTGTGTGTGTGTGTGTGTGTGTGTGTGAGTGTGAGTGTGAGTGTGTGTGAGTGTGTGAGTGTGTGTGTGTTTGAGTGATGGAGTGAGTGAGTGAGTGAGTGAGTGAGTGAGTGAGTGAGTGAGTGAGCGTGCGAGTGTGAGTGTGTGTGTGTGTGTGTGTGTGAGTGTGTGTGTGAGTCTGTGTGTGAGTGTGTGTGTACCTTAATAACAGGATAGATGGCCCATGGAGGCAGGATGTGGTCCCTGAGGGCCCCACAGCTGCACTCTGTCGGCTCCTGGTCCGCACATTCATCATGACGCTGAAACACAAACAACGACACGTTATTTATTACAGTCACAACATAAACAATGACACAGTATTTATTACAGTCTCAGCTGCAGGGCGGGATGTGACAGAGTATCGGGGCTGTGTGGCTGAAATTAATAGTTTCTACAGGAACAGAAGAGGGCTATTATTCAGAGAAAACTAAAGTCGAAACAGAAGACTGAAGTCGTAGATTTAAAAGAAAAAAATATTCGATTTTCTCTGAAATGAACCCGGTAAATTAACAAGAAGAAACTCACAAATTGGCCAAATAAAGTTACCACGATACTCAGTTCACAAAATGAAAGTCTCACCATAAGCTTAATTATACAATTATCACAATAAAATATCATTATATGATATTATCGCATACGATACTTTAAGATACAATATTGTCACGATATGAGATCATATTATCACGATCTGATACTTTCATGCTACAATATTACCATCATAAGATATTACTATAATACAACATTATCATGATAGGGTATATTCATGCAAAAATATGATCACGTTATCATTAAGATTCTCAGAATTCCACTTCTTTGATCTCTGTTTTTTGTACATTTATTACTTTAACCGTGGACAATTACCCACCCCCCTGGGTCCGTACAATTTTCATTAAAATATATATATTTGACCATCAATGGCCCTAATATGCCGTCTTAGACTGGCAAAATCTAAATGTAACTTTCTTTAAATATGTATTTTTAACTATTTCTGTTTTACTCTTTACTTATACTGGAAAGAGAGGAAGAAGGGAGCCCAAAGCATCATGGGTAAATGGGCCTGCAATAAGACCATTTAAAGGTCACCTATCATGCAAAATCCACTTGTTCATGTCTCTTCTTCATCAACATGTGTCCCCTCTTCTTCATGTCTCTTCTTCATCAACATGTGTCCCCTCTTCTTCATGTCTCTTCTACATCAACATGTGTCCCCTCTTCTTCATGTCTCTTCTACATCAACATGTGTCCCCTCTTCTTCATGTCTCTTCTACATCAACATGTGTCCCCTCTTCTTCATGTCTCTTCTTCATCAACATGTGTCCCCTCTTCTTCATGTCTCTTCTACATCAACATGTGTCCCCTCTTCTTCATGTCTCTTCTTCATCAACATGTGTCCCCTCTTCTTCATGTCTCTTCTACATCAACATGTGTCCCCTCTTCTTCATGTCTCTTCTTCATCAACATGTGTCCCCTCTTCTTCATGTCTCTTCTTCATCAACATGTGTCCCCTCTTCTTCATGTCTCTTCTACATCAACATGTGTCCCCTCTTCTTCATGTCTCTTCTACATCAACATGTGTTGTCTTGTGTAACCATTAGCCAATCAGCAACCAAGGTAACAACAACACAAAACATGGGAGCGGTGGAGATGAGGAGGTGTCGGCGTTCTGGCGATTTACTCGGAAGGCTTCTACTGAAGAAAGACCCCAACTAAGGGGATCTCGGGGACTTCGGGTGGCAGTATACGGGAGGCGTGTGGTGCAGTGGATAGAGCGTTGGTGTTCGGATCAAGGGAGCACAGGTTCAAACCCCACTGCAGTCAGCATGTCGTTGTGTCCCTGAGACACTTCACCCCAAATTGATCCTGTGGGGATTGTCCACAGTATTGAGTATATAAGTCGCTTTGGATAAAAGCGTCTAACATGTAATGTAATGTAATGTAATGTATACGCCGTGAAGTGGTTTGCGGCCTGCCAGTAAACCCAAAGCAGAAGAAGAAGTGACGTCAGCGGCTTCATTTGCGTAATCTTCCCTCAGGGAACTTATTCCCGTGTGAACGTGATCTGTACTTAGTGCAATGGGGGTGCTGGCCACTAAGTGCTGGCACTAAGTACGGCAAAGTACTTAGTGTGAAAGCGGCTAATGTGTTCTTTGTAACCAAATCTCTCTCAGAGGGGCGTGGGGAGGGGCTCCTTATTTTCATCTAAAGTAACAGACAGCGAATCAGCACTTTGGAAACAGGGCTGAAACAGAGGGGATTATGGGTAATGCTGCAATGATCTGTTTGGTGTTTCAGCCAATCAGAGACAGGTTCTGTATATATCTGAGACCTGTGATATATTGATGAAGAACAGTATGATTGGGGACCTGTAGTGACTGATACCCAGAATGAGCGTCTCCTCTTATTGCTCACTGTACTTCTCACCATGCTGTGGCACCACACACAGTGTTTCCCCGTCAGTCCCTGCAGGCTCTTGATCTTCTTCTGGCATTTCTCACACTTCCTCGAGTCGCAGTTCCCACTCACCCAGTCGTGAGCAGGAACCTGAGAAGTGAGAAGAATATTTGAGATGTAACATTAAAATCAGCTCAGACAGAGGAACGTGTTTTAATTCGACGGAGAACGTTTTTATACCCCGGTTTCTTTCTTGGACTTCACATAGGTCCGTGTGCAGGGCGCCGGGTTCCTGTTGGCACAGCGGCCGTGCACCGTGTATTTACAGCCTGGAAACACAACACACGGTCACATTATTATACATTTAAGTCTAATGCATCATCTTCAGCTTTTTACAATTTGCTTTTTTTTCAATGATTTGCAAGTGACACGCCAGATCCTTTCATAATAAATAATAATAATAACGTGTGTAAACCCATTAAAACAGCATTTTATTAATCCCACAGCCATTACAGCATGAATCCTGCTTTCTATGTATTAAATATAGTATAATTTCTATTTTTAAATGTAACTTTTCACTTCTTTTCACCAGTTTTTCTTGACTTATGGGACAAAAACATGCATTTTCTCTGGTTTTCCTGCACATATATAACATAAATCTAAATCAATGTTGTCAATAAGTGACATAACTCACACTGAAAACATATAGAAATCCCCCCTTGTATTCACAGAACATTATTGCCTTTTAAAAAAAATCAAAAACAGTGGCATTTTTTAAAGAAACTGGAATATATGAGACAAAAATTCAGAAAAGTAATCATTTGGAAGTTGTAAACCGGACTGAAGCTGACATATAAAGTGATACTTAAATGATATCAAATTGCTTTGACTCATAGGTAAATGATTATGAAATGTTTTTGATAACTATTGTACGCAGCGTCGCCCTCTCATGGTGCGTTCAGGGACTCACAGGTGCAGCACAGCCCCTGCTTCCTGATGCCCAGCAGCATGCTCTGACACACGTTGCAGTAGACGGGTTTATTAAAGTGTTTCATCCTCCAGAGGTGCTGCCCGTCCTGCTGCGTCATCTGCAGGGAGCACACAAACACTCAGGTGACGCTTCACAATCACTTCATGGTTTTATTGTGCTTTTTTTTGGTATTTTATATTTATTTTTCTTCTAATTTAATTTAACAGATTTTTTTTTATTTTATTAATTGTATTTTTTTTTGTATTTAATAGTTTTTTTTATTTAAAATAAAATAAATAATAAGAAGTTAGGGTAAAAATGTGCAGTAGAAAACTATTATAAAGTAATTAAAAAAGTATATAAATATTAGAGGTTAAAGAAAAAATGTGCAATAACGAATTAAAATATAATAAAATAAAAATATTGACATCGATAAAAAGTCAAATTGTGCAATAAACAAACAAATAAAATATAATAATAAATATATATAATTATAAAAAGTCAAATAAAAAATGTGCAATGAAATAATATTCAAATAAAATAAAAAAATAAATCAAGAAATGCAAATGTTAAATAGTTGTAGTAAAAAAGTCTGCAAAAACTGAAAAGAAATATATATAAAAAAGCAATAATGTGCACATTGTATCGCAACAATAAATATGTAAATAGTACAATATTTATAATGATGTGTTAGTACTTATAACACTACTAATGAATGCCCAGTGTAATACAGCAGTGATGTATTGCACTGTTGAATATTAAAACATATATATCTATATATATATATCTATATATAGACACACGGCGCAGCGGCAGGATATTATACTGTAATCTCAAGTTCTCCACACAAGATTAAAGGTTGTTTTTAGTCTTTTTATGATGTGTTTGCAGGGCGGCGGGCGCTTATCCCCGGATTACACACTCAAATGTTTTTATTCCTGACACGATGCATCACTTTCTGCAGGAGGGGGGAGGGGGGGGGGGGTCATGCACCCGGGGCTTCAAATGTGCAGCAGGGTCTGGAAATAGCCGGAGGGGGAAGTCCCTGGCATTGTTCGGTTTCAGACCACAGAGCGGCAGAACGAGGCTTTTACATTCCTGACACATTAACACACGACTTAGCTGCTTTACATACAGACACATTACAGTGAGAGATGTGGGGTTACTCAGCTCCTATGACATGTCTTTATTCAGACTAGTGGGAGAAAACTCCACATTCAGGAGTTTATTTCACTAACTGTGTCTTTTTGTGTCTGCAGATTTCTCCTAAATTCACCTAAAGTTGCCATTACATAAAGCCTCATTTGCATATTTAAACACAACATGTCAGAAAACTTGTAATGTCAAAGATAATTGTGTTAATGTCAGGAATGAAGTGGGCGAGTTTCATGTTGATATCTGACTATTCAGACCACAGAGCGAGGCTTTTACATTCCTGACACATTAACACACTACTGAGCTGCTTTGCATACAGATATACAGACACATTAAAGTGAGAGATTTGGGGTTTTTAGCTTCTATAACATGTCTTTATTCAGACTAGTGCAAAGAAAACATCCACAATCCTCACTCAGGAGTTTATTTCACTAGATTAGCATAACATAACCCCTCATTTGCATATGTTGAACACAACATGTCAGAAAACTTGTAATGTCAAAGATGATCGTGTTAATGTCAGGAATAAAGTGGGCGAGTTTCATGGTGATATCTGTCAGTTAAAATGTTCACCCTATTCACCTGCAGTGTGCACAACATGTACATGATCACATGACAGATCCTTAAAGGGTGTGCCTCTCCTCCTCTCTCAGCAGGACTTCTTTAACTTGTGTCTGCAGATTTCTTGGTGGTACTTCTTGTTCAGACTTGTATTCAGAAATCATTTGAATAATCAGACACATTAAGAAAACTCTGAGGGTACAATGAGTTCCTCTCCAGCTTCACAGCTCACTGATAGACAGTGAGCTGTGAAGCTGGGTTTGATTACAGAGCCTTCAGTTTGAAGAGAGGGAACACACAGAAAGCTGTGACACTCAGTACATTCACTCTAGTGGTGTAGTTCAGTATACAATGTTGAGGTACTTGTACTTTACTTTAGTATCTCAATGTTAGGCTACTGTGTACTTCTACTCCAATACAGTTCAGACGTACATGGTGTACTTGTACTCCACTACATGTATTTAATACCTTTAGTTACTTCACAGATGTGGATGAATGATGTGAAATATAACCAAGTGTTAAATCAGACTTTAGTTCCACCTGGAGTAAATCCACAAGCTACCCTGCAGTATACAAAGTCATTCAAACTAGCTGCACCTTTACCAGCTTTGAGAACACTTTCATGATCAATCATTATAAAACATATCATATATATTATTCTGAAATGGACCAATCTGCACAATGACTACTTTTACTGTCGCTACTTTAACTATATTTTGATGAGAATACTTTTCTACTTTCACTTGAGGAACATTTTGAATGCAGGACTTTTACTGTAACAGAGTATTCCTACACTCTGGTACTTCTACTTTTACTCAAGTACAAGATCTGAGTACTTCTACTTTCACTCAAGTACAAGATCTGAGTACTTCTACTTTTACTCAAGTACAAGTTCTGAGTACTTCTACTTTTACTCAAGTACGAGATCTGAGTACTTCTACTTTTACTCAAGTACAAGATCTGAGTACTTCTACTTTTACTCAAGTACAAGATCTGAGTACTTCTACTTTTACTCAAGTACAAGACCTGAGTACTTCTACTTTTACTCAAGTACAAGATCTGAGTACTTCTACTTTTACTCAAGTACAAGATCTGAGTACTTCTACTTTTACTCAAGTACAAGATCTGAGTACTTCTACTTTTACTCAAGTACGCGATCTGAGTACTTCTACTTTTACTCAAGTACAAGATCTGAGTACTTCTACTTTTACTCAAGTACAAGATCTGAGTACTTCTACTTTGACTCAGGTACAATATTTGAGTACTTCTACTTTTACTCAAGTACGCGGTCTGAGTACTTCTACTTTTACTCAAGTACGCGATCTGAGTACTTCTACTTCTACTCAAATACAAGATCTGAGTACTTCTACTTTTACTCAAGTACGCGATCTGAGTACTTCTACTTTGACTCAGGTACAATATCTGAGTACTTCTACTTTTACTCAAGTACGCGGTCTGAGTACTTCTACTTTTACTCAAGTACGCGATCTGAGTACTTCTACTTCTACTCAAGTACGCGATCTGAGTACTTCTACTTCTACTCAAATACAAGATCTGAGTACTTCTACTTCTACTCAAATACAAGATCTGAGTACTTCTACTTCTACTCAAGTACAAGATCTGAGTACTTCTACTTTGACTCAGGTACAATATTTGAGTACTTCTACTTTTACTCAAGTACGCGGTCTGAGTACTTCTACTTTTACTCAAGTACGCGATCTGAGTACTTCTACTTCTACTCAAGTATGCGATCTGAGTACTTCTACTTCTACTCAAGTACGCGATCTGAGTACTTCTACTTCTACTCAAGTACATGATCTGAGTACTTCTTCCATCTCTGATTATTTCACTAATCATTTAGGTAAAAGTCCATAAACGTTGATCTAATGATGACGTTTATAAAATACTTGAAACTACACTTTGCTGCGTATACTTATATACATTTACGTAGTATTTGTTAGGACGTTGCTGTGTTGATATACTCACTTAATTAAAGGATCTCTTTCTGCCACAAGTATTGTATTTTCACACAATAAACAACATTTACAGTAAACTATGAATGTTATATTAAAGGTCCTTTGAAGGTCACAGATATTCTCCGTGAAGTCGTGCAGGACCCGGCGTGTTTCTCTCAGATATATTACATGTCTTTACAGCAGGTGGTACACGTTGTGTTTGTACAGCTCTTGTGAAACGCTGCCTCTCTCCGCCCTTCTACATTTCTGCTGACTCAGCGCTGCAGGGTGTGGTAATGTCCTTTTTTCTCAGCGCTGCAGCGTCAGAGAGCTTTATGGTTTCCATTTACTCTGCAGGATCCTGGCCCACATTTAATAACGTACTTACAGGAGGCTGCAGCCTTCAGGCACTTTCATTTGGCCAAAAACATTGATTAGTTCAATATTGAGTGCATATTTGAAGTGTTTTGTGCAGTGCAGGCGAGAAGGAGAGCATATTCAACTAAAAGATATCACCATGAAACTTCCCCACCTCATCTAGACTCAAGGTTCAAGGTGTTTATTGTCATGTGTACATAGCTACAGTGGAGATATATCAATGACAATCTGAGGTCACAGGCTCCTCCAACAGAGCAACACAATAACACAGCAAGTACTTGGAATATTGATATATATAAACAGATGAATGTTCTGGATGCTCTTTCAAAAGTTCAGGTGTTTAACGGTCTCTCCTGGGACATGTCTCCAGGTGTATATCAGTATGTAGTGTCTCTTCTTTAAAGAGTCCTCTCCTGCTGATGTTCAGGTGTATATCAGTATGTAGTGTCTCTACTTTAAAGAGTCCTCTCCTGCTGATGTTCAGGTGTATATCAGTATGTAGTGTCTCTTCTTTAAAGAGTCCTCTCCTGCTGATGTTCAGGTGTATATCAGTATGTAGTGTCTCTACTTTAAAGAGTCCTCTCCTGCTGATGTTCAGGTGTATATCAGTATGTAGTGTCTCTACTTTAAAGAGTCCTCTCCTGCTGATGTTCAGGTGTATATCAGTATGTAGTGTCTCTACTTTAAAGAGTCCTCTCCTGCTGATGTTCAGGTGTATATCAGTATGTAGTTTCTCTACTTTAAAGAGTACTCTCCTGCTGATGTGCAGGTGTATATCAGTATGTAGTGTCTCTACTTTAAAGAGTCCTCTCCTGCTGATGTTCAGGTGTTTATCAGTATGTTATGTCTCTACTTTAAAGAGTCCTCTCCTGCTGATGTTCAGGTGTATATCAGTATGTAGTGTCTCTACTTTAAAGAGTCCTCTCCTGCTGATGTTCAGGTGTATATCAGTATGTAGTTGTCTCTACTTTAAGAGTCCTCTCCTGCTGATGTTCAGGTGTATATCAGTATAGTGTCTCTACTTTAAAGAGTCCTCTCCTGCTGATGTTCAGGTGTATATCAGTATGTAGTGTCTCTACTTTAAAGAGTCCTCTCCTGCTGATGTTCAGGTGTATATCAGTATGTAGTGTCTCTACTTTAAAGAGTCCTCTCCTGCTGATGTTCAGGTGTATATCAGTATGTCGTGTCTCTACTTTAAAGAGTCCTCTCCTGCTGATGTTCAGGTGTATATCAGTATGTAGTGTCTCTACTTTAAAGAGTCCTCTCCTGCTGATGTTCAGGTGTATATCAGTATGTTATGTCTCTACTTTAAAGAGTCCTCTCCTGCTGATGTTCAGGTGTATATCAGTATGTAGTGTCTCTACTTTAAAGAGTCCTCTCCTGCTGATGTTCAGGTGTATATCAGTATGTAGTGTCTCTACTTTAAAGAGTCCTCTCCAGCTGATGTTCAGGTGTATATCAGTATGTAGTGTCTCTACTTTAAAGAGTCCTCTCCTGCTGATGTCCATGTGTATATCAGTATGTAGTGTCTCTACTTTAAAGAGTCCTCTCCTGCTGATGTTCAGGTGTATATCAGTATGTAGTGTCTCTACTTTAAAGAGTCCTCTCCAGCTGATGTTCAGGTGTATATCAGTATGTAGTGTCTCTACTTTAAAGAGTCCTCTCCTGCTGATGTTCAGGTGTATATCAGTATGTAGTGTCTCTACTTTAAAGAGTCCTCTCCTGCTGATGTTCAGGTGTATATCAGTATGTAGTGTCTCTACTTTAAAGAGTCCTCTCCTGCTGTTGTTCAGGTGTATATCAGCATGTAGTGTCTCTACTTTAAAGAGTCCTCTCCTGCTGATGTTCAGGTGTATATCAGTATGTAGTGTCTCTACTTTAAAGAGTCCTCTCCTGCTGATGTTCAGGTGTATATCAGTATGTAGTGTCTCTACTTTAAAGAGTCCTCTCCAGCTGATGTTCAGGTGTATATCAGTATGTCGTGTCTCTACTTTAAAGAGTCCTCTCCTGCTGATGTTCAGGTGTATATCAGTATGTAGTGTCTCTACTTTAAAGAGTCCTCTCCTGCTGATGTTCAGGTGTTTATCAGTATGTAGTGTCTCTACTTTAAAGAGTCCTCTCCTGCTGATGTCCATGTGTATATCAGTATGTAGTGTCTCTACTTTAAAGAGTCCTCTCCTGCTGATGTTCAGGTGTATATCAGTATGTAGTGTCTCTACTTTAAAGAGTCCTCTCCTGCTGATGTTCAGGTGTATATCAGTATGTAGTGTCTCTACTTTAAAGAGTCCTCTCCTGCTGATGTTCAGGTGTATATCAGTATGTAGTGTCTCTACTTTAAAGAGTCCTCTCCTGCTGATGTTCAGGTGTATATCAGTATGTAGTGTCTCTACTTTAAAGACTCCTCTCCTGCTGATGTTCAGGTGTATATCAGTATGTAGTGTCTCTACTTTAAAGAGTCCTCTCCTGCTGATGTTCAGGTGTATATCAGTATGTAGTGTCTCTACTTTAAAGAGTCCTCTCCTGCTGATGTTCAGGTGTATATCAGTATGTAGTGTCTCTACTTTAAAGAGTCCTCTCCTGCTGATGTTCAGGTGCATATCAGTATGTAGTGTCTCTACTTTAAAGAGTCCTCTCCTGCTGATGTTCAGGTGTATATCAGTATGTAGTGTCTCTACTTTAAAGAGTCCTCTCCTGCTGATGTTCAGGTGTATATCAGTATGTAGTGTCTCTACTTTAAAGAGTCCTCTCCTGCTGATGTTCAGGTGTATATCAGTATGTAGTGTCTCTACTTTAAAAAGTCCTCTCCTGCTGATGTTCAGGTGTATATCAGTATGTAGTGTCTCTACTTTAAAGAGTCCTCTCCTGCTGATGTTCAGGTGTATATCAGTATGTAGTGTCTCTACTTTAAAGAGTCCTCTCCTGCTGATGTTCAGGTGTATATCAGTATATAGTGTCTCTACATGTCTCCATGCTCTAATGTTCAAAAAGCTCTTTATTCTTCTCATACTGTCTGTGCTGCAGCACCTCTTTTCACCCTCTGTCTGAAACCAGAGCCCAGTCTGCTCTGATTGGTTAGCTGTTCGGCTCTGTTGTGATTGGTCAACCTGCTTAGAGATGTCATCATGTACAATGTGTTGGAGCGCTAGCCAATAGCCTGTCACTATGTTCCTGAAGTGATGATACGTAATGTGAAATGTTTTTCATAGAAGATTCGGTAAGTGTTATTTGAAAAACACAATAAAATACGGTGGCTTTTTGTAAACTGTATTGAAAATGTAACAACGAAGCTACAACTCAAGATGGAAGTGTATTTAGAGAAATGGTCACCTGCTGTAAGGTATTTGGTAAGCCTCTAATTGGACTATATATTTTTTATATTTCTTGTGCTTTGTTGATAATTACTATTATATATTGTACTTTTTTGATAATATTATATATATATATTTGTATATAACAGTATGATATTGTATCTGTACCACGTTGTGTGAGACTCACTGTCAAGGAACTTGTTCTAATAAATGTTTAAAAAAAATATATACGGTGGCTTTTTCGCTAAATTCTCACGATTTTCCAAATTTCATTAAAGTGTTTTGGGGCTTTTCCAGATCCGGAAGATATGATTTCTGTGTCCATGATGTTTGTGTGCTTCCTGTCTGAGGTACCTTGAGCCCCAGCAGCACCAGCAGAGGCACGTTGTTCATGCCGCCCGCCACCCACTCGTCCAGAGACACTGTGCCGCTGCTGTCGGCATCGATCGCCGTCATCATGTCCTTCAGAACCTGAGAAACACAACAAGCACCGTGTCACTCAGAACGATAGCGTGCATGGGAAGGTTAGGAGCTGCAGAGAAGCTTATCTTCATTCCAACCCTCAGACAATGATTCACCAGCGCCGCCATAAACTGTATATGTTGAGCAAACAAATGTATATCTTTACTGTTAGAGGCGCGGGGTTAAAGTTCCTATTTCTGTTTACGTTCAAGGAACAAGGAAGTAGAGACGGATCCTTTACCGTAACTCCAAAACTCTTTATCAACAGTCAGTGGGTTAGCATCGTAGCATCTCAAAATAATGAGTTTTTATCTCATAATAATAACTTAATATCTCATAATAATGACTTAGTATCTCATTATGATGACTTAGTATCTTAAATAATGACTTAGTATCTCAAATAATGACTTAGTATCTCATTATGATGACTTAGTATCTTAAATAATGACTTAGTATCTCAAATAATGACTTAGTATCTCATTATGATGACTTAGTATCTTAAATAATGACTTAGTATCTCAAATAATGACTTAGTATCTCATTATGATGACTTAGTATCTTAAATAATGACTTAGTATCTCAAATAATGACTTAGTATCTCATAATAAGGACTTAGTATCGCATAATAAGGACTTAGTATCTCATAATAATGACTTAGTATCTCATAATAATTACTTAGTATCTCATAATAATGACTTAGTATCTCCTAATAATGACTTAGTATCTCATAATAAGGACTTAGTATCTCCTAATAATGACATAGTATCTCATAATAATGACTTAGTATCTCCTAATAATGACTTAGTATCTTAATAATGACTTAGTATCTCATAATAATGACTTAGTATCTCTAAATAATGACTTAGTATCTCATAATAATGACTTAGTATCTCATAATAATGACTTAGTATCTCATAATAAGGACTTAGTATCTCATAATAATGACTTAGTATCTCCTAATAATGACATAGTATCTCATAATAATGACTTAGTATCTCCTAATAATGACATAGTATCTCATAATAATGACTTAGTATCTCCTAATAATGACTTAGTATCTTAAATAATGACTTAGTATCTCATAATAATGACTTAGTATCTCTAAATAATGACTTAGTATCTCATAATAATGACTTAGTATCTCATAATAATGACTTAGTATCTCATAATAATGACTTAGTATCTCAAAATAATGACTTAGTATCTCATAATAATTACTTAGTATCTCGTAAATAATGACTTAGTATCTTAAAATAATGACTTAGTATCTTAAATAATGACTTAATATCTTAAATAATGACTTAGTATCTCATAATAATGACTTAGTATCTTATAATAATGACTTAGTATCTTAAATAATGACTTAGTATCTTATAATAATCACTTAGTATCTCATTATAATGACTTAGTATCTTATAATAATGACTTAGTATCTTAAAATAATGACTTAGTATCTTAAATAATGACTTAGTATCTTAAATAATGACTTAGTATCTCATAATAATGACTTAGTATCTTAAATAATGACTTAGTATCTCATAATAATGACTTAGTATCTTAAATAATGACTTAGTATCTTAAAATAATGACTTAGTATCTCAGATAATGACTTAGTATCTTAAATAATGACTTAGTATCTTAAATAATGACTTAATATCTTAAATAATGACTTAGTATCTTATAATAATCACTTAGTATCTCATTATAATGACTTAGTATCTTAAAATAATGACTTAGTATCTTAAATAATGACTTAGTATCTTAAATAATGACTTAGTATCTCATAATAATGACTTAGTATCTCCTAATAATGACTTAGTATCTCATTATAATGACATAGTATCTCATAATAATGACTTAGTATCTTATAATAATGACTTAGTATCTCATTATAATGACTTAGTATCTTATAATAATGACTTAGTATCTTAAAATAATGACTTAGTATCTTAAATAATGACTTAGTATCTTAAATAATGACTTAGTATCTCAGATAATGACTTAGTATCTCATAATAATGACTTAGTATCTTATAATAATGACTTAGTATCTTAAATAATGACTTAGTATCTTATAATAATCACTTAGTATCTCATTATAATGACTTAGTATCTTATAATAATGACTTAGTATCTTAAAATAATGACTTAGTATCTTAAATAATGACTTAGTATCTTAAATAATGACTTAGTATCTCATAATAATGACTTAGTATCTCCTAATAATGACTTAGTATCTTAAATAATGACTTAGTATCTTAAAATAATGACTTAGTATCTTAAAATAATGACTTAGTATCTTAGATAATGACTTAGTATCTTAAATAAATGCCTCAGTATCTCAAATGACTGAGCTGCATGTCTGTTTGTTGTGTTTGTATTGACGTTTACATCAGAGTTCAGTGTGTTGGCACTCACCGGCCTCAGCTCTGAAACATCCCATCCCAGATAGTCTGCAGCGTGCATCATCTGAGCTATGATCCTGTCCACTTCCTGTCGCAACAAAAACACTTATTTTTAGTATTACGCCTCGAATTATACAAATTAAAAACACCTACAAAAAATGTTCTCTAACGTACCGAGCTGTCGAGGACGCCGTTACCGTCCCTGTCGTACAGCTTGAAAGCGACTAAAGACAGAAAAGGTTATTATTTATGTATTATATAAGTTTATTCTCAGCGTTACCCTGCACAATAATCAATAACACACTCCTCTACTGGTCAAATACATTTTCTAGTTCATGTTCAAAAAGTGTATTCTTGTCTTGTAAATAAAACCTGCTGTTCAAAATGTGTATGAATACATAGCGTAAATAACACGTGTATATTTATGTATAGATGTCCAATTGTACAAAGTTTAGGCAATACTGTATGGTCATTATTGAAAAGGGACATTTAAGTGGAACAAATCACATTATTAAGGACAAGATAAGATAAGTCCTCACACTCCAGCTTGTCTCTCGGCTGCCCGTCCTCCAGCAGAGAGAAATAACACGAAACATCTTTCAGGAAGACTTCCTCTGCAGAGAAGAGAGGCTGTTACTGAGAGACCTGAACACACTCCTCACACACTGTCTCCACACACACTCCTCACACACTGTCTCCACACACACTCCTCACACACTGTCTCCACACACACTCCTCACACACTGTCTTCACACACACTCCTCACATACTGTCTCCACACACACTCCTCACACACTGTCTCCACACACACTCCACACACACTGTCTCCACACACTGTCTCCACGCACACTGTCTTCACACACACTCCTCACACACTGTCTTCACACACACTCCTCACACACTGTCTCCACACACACTCCTCACACACTGTCTTCACACACACTCCTCACATACTGTCTCCACACACACTCCTCACACACTGTCTCCACACACACTCCACACACACTGTCTCCACACACTGTCTCCACGCACACTGTCTTCACACACACTCCTCACACACTGTCTTCACACACACTCCACACACACTGTCTTCACACACACACTCCACACACACTGTCTTCACACACACTCCTCACACACTGTCTTCACACACTGTCTTCACACACTGTCTCCACACACACTGTCTCCACACACACTCCTCACACACTGTCTTCACACACACTCCACACACACTCCTCACACACTGTCTCCACACACACTCCACACACACTCCTCACACACTGTCTTCACACACACTCCACACACACTCCTCACACACTGTCTCCACACACACTCCTCACACACTGTCTTCACACACACTCCACACACACTGTCTTCACACACACTGTCTTCACACACACTCTCCACACACACTGTCTTCACACACACTGTCTTCACACACACACTCCTCACACACTGTCTTCACACACACTGTCTCCACACACACTCCTCACACACTGTCTTCACACACACTCCACACACACTCCTCACACACTGTCTCCACACACACTCCACACACACTCCTCACACACTGTCTTCACACACACTCCACACACACTCCTCACACACTGTCTCCACACACACTCCACACACACTCCTCACACACTGTCTTCACACACACTCCACACACACTGTCTTCACACACACTGTCTTCACACACACTCTCCACACACACTGTCTTCACACACACACTCCTCACACACTGTCTTCACACACACTCACTTGTCACACACACTCCTCACACACTCCTCACACACTGTCTTCACACACACTCCACACACACTCCTCACACACTGTCTCCACACACACTCCTCACACACTGTCTTCACACACACTCCACACACACTGTCTTCACACACACTGTCTTCACACACACTCTCCACACACACTGTCTTCACACACACTGTCTTCACACACACACTCCTCACACACTGTCTTCACACACACTGTCTCCACACACACTCCTCACACACTGTCTTCACACACACTCCACACACACACACACACACTGTCTCCACACACACTCCACACACACTCCTCACACACTGTCTTCACACACACTCCACACACACTCCTCACACACTGTCTCCACACACACTCCACACACACTCCTCACACACTGTCTTCACACACACTCCACACACACTGTCTTCACACACACTGTCTTCACACACACTCTCCACACACACTGTCTTCACACACACACTCCTCACACACTGTCTTCACACACACTCACTTGTCACACACACTCCTCACACACTCCTCACACACTGTCTTCACACACACTCCACACACACTGTCTTCACACACACTGTCTTCACACACACTCCACACACACTCCACACACACTGTCTTCACACACACACTCCTCACACACTGTCTTCACACACACTCACTTGTCACACACACTCCTCACACACTCCTCACACACACTTCTCACATTATCTCAAAATACTGAGTAAATATCTTAAAATTATGAATTAGTATCTCATAATAATTACTTAGTATCAAAAATTAATGACGCTTTACCTAAAAGTATTGACTTAATATGTCATTTTTGTTGAGATACTATATATAAAAAAATGATATATCTAAAAACAATGACTTCAAATCTCATAATAATGACATTTTTCATCATCTCTGAGGAACACTTACACACACTCCACTTACACACACTCCACTTACACACACTCCACTTACACACACTCCACTTACACACACTCCACTTACACACACTCCACACACAAACACACACTCCACACACAAACACACACTCCTCACAATATCTCAAAATAACGACTTCATATCTTAAAATAATTACTTAGTTTCTCAGAAAATGACTGAATATTTTTGAAAAAGTATTTATTATCTCAAAACAACTACTTAATATCTTAAAATGATGACTTACTGTCTCAAAATAATGTCTACATTTCCAAAAATGTTGACTTACTTTGTAATTTCTGTTGAGATACTAAAATCTCATAATAATGACATTTTTCATAATCTCTGAGGAAGAATTTCTCTGCAGAAAAGAGACTGTGGTTACTGTGAAATCTGCACACACACTCCTCACACACACTCCTCACACACACTCCTCACACACACTCCTCACACACACTCCACACACACTATCTCAAAATAATGTCTTATTATCTCAAAATAATGACTACCCTAAAAACAACGCCTTAATATCTAAAAAGTACGAGTTAGTATCCCAAAATAAGCACATAGTATCTTTACAAAATGACTTAGTGTCTCAAAATAATGACTTAGTTTCAACATCTATGAGGACTCTGGTTACTGTGAAATCTGCACACACTCCTCACACACACACACACACATACACACTCAACACACACACACACACATACACACTCAACACACACACACACATACACACTCAACACACACACACACACATACACACTCAACACACACACACACACACACACTCAACACACTCGGGGGTAAATCAGGGGACGCCAAATAGGCCATGGTGTAAAATGATAAGGGCATGTGTGTGTGTGTGTGTGTGTGTGTGTGTGTGTGTGTGTGTGTGTGTGTGTGTGTGTATGTGTGTGTATGTGTGTGTGTGTGTGTGTGTGTGTGTGTGTGTGTGTGTGTGTGTGTGTGTGTGTGTGTGTGTGTGTGTGTGTGTGTGTGTGTGTCTCACTGGCGTCCTCCTTCCCAGGCTCAGAGTTCTGGAAGGAGAGGAAGAGTCTCTGGCAGAGATCCACAGGAAAGTCCTCCACCTCCAAGTAGGTTTTCAGAAACAGACGGAAGCCCTCCTCGTCGATGCACTGCAGCGGGAAGACATGTGTTGTTGTTTACTCTGAGCAGAGCTGGCAAAAGTACACACATCCTTTACTCAAGTAAAAGTAAAGAGGCTTTGAAATGTACTTCAGTAAAAAGTACCCATAACTAGCAGCTGTTTTAAAGAGTACCTGACCTCCCTTTATATTAATAGAACAATAATGTCATTGTTAGCTAATGAATGTTTCCATGCTGAACAACGGCAACATGACAACGTTTCCATTGGTCCCTCTTCTTTAGAGAAGACCAGAGGCCTGTACTACGAAGCTGGTTCAACTTAACCTGGATATGTTTGAGTTAGCCGGTTGGCCCAATCCAAAACATACGCTCTCTCGCTAAGCTGTACTACGACGCTGGTTATCAAGTGGATCGCTCAAGCCGCCGTGTCCTATCTAGTTAGGTGCGCGTTCACATGAAAGGGGTGGTATTTGGAGCATTCGACCAATCACAAACATGGACAAGCGTACTGACAGCGCAGCGTCATACTTCCTGAATGAAAAGTGAACTTTAATATTAGTCAAATATGAAGAAGTTAAACTTTAAACATCCATGACTTAAACACTTTATCCAGGATCAAAGCCACATAGCTGCACCTGCAAGGTGAATACAGCTGGTAACAGAAAAAGTGTTTGAATGCGTACATTAACAGGTTTATGAAATCACTGCCCCGTCTAAGACACGATCTGACTTTAATTACATTTGACTCGAGTGTTTCGTCAACTTAATGTGTTGCTTAAAATAATACTTCTGCATACAGTATGTGACACTGTGAGTGTTGCACGGCCAGATCCGGCTCAGCTGACTCAGATAAGGAAATATATGATACATTATGATGTGATATGATATGAATGATAATGGGACACATCGACGTCTGCACTCACAGTGCCGCGGACTGTACGTAATGTTACTCTGATCCGGTTACTTATGTCGTGGCAGATATTTAAGTAAGCTTTCTTAACGCTAATGTTATAATAGTCAGATTGCTCTGAAGATGGGAGGGGATATTCTATTAATTTTCACGTTCACACAGTCAGTTGATTTTTGCCGGCCGTCTTTCCTGCAACGGCAGTTTTTCTGTATTTCCTCTATCCTGTAATATGACTTGATCGCTTTAAACTCCGCACACGGAGCTCTGATTGGTCAGCAGGCGGTGCTTTCACTGAGTTGATCTCTTAGCCTGCAACCAAACCTCCTCCCGAGGAGGTTAGCCGCTCAGCATAAGTTACCATGGAGATCTAGCCCGCTAAAAAGAGAACCAGCGTCGTAGGACCGGAAAGCCCAAGTTTTCCCTGAAATCAGCGGCTAAGAGAACATCCAGCTTCGTAGTACAGGCCTCTGGAAATGATGGATACACGGATCGTGTTCAAATCAATAGGCACGCAATGACTCTAAATAATAATGATCACGCCACCAAACACACATTCAAACTAAAGGAACCAGCCTGTTTGGGAAATGTAAGAAGTAGAAAGTACAGGTATTTGGGTTCAACATGTAAGAAGTAGAAAGTACAGGTATTTGTGTTCAACATGTAAGAAGTAGAAAGTACAGGTATTTGGGTTCAACATGTAAGAAGTAGAAAGTACAGGTATTTGGGTTCAACATGTAAGAAGTAGAAAGTACAGGTATTTGGGTTCAACATGTAAGAAGTAGAAAGTACAGGTATTTGGGTTCAACATGTAAGAAGTAGAAAGTACAGGTATTTGTGTTCAACATGTAAGAAGTAGAAAGTACAGGTATTTGTGTTCAACATGTAAGAAGTAGAAAGTACAGGTATTTGTGTTCAACATGTAAGAAGTAGAAAGTACAGGTATTTGTGTTCAACATGTAAGAAGTAGAACCCAAAGTACAGGTATTTGAGTTCAACATGTAAGAAGTAGAAAGTACAGGTATTTGTGTTCAACATGTAAGAAGTAGAAAGTACAGGTATTTGTGTTCAACATGTAAGAAGTAGAAAGTACAGTAAGGAAGTATTTGTACTGCACTACTTCCCATCTCTGGAGAGTGAGCTCATTGTGGTGTTGTTGTTTACACTGAGCTCATTGTGGTGTTGTTGTTTACACTGAGCTCATTGTGGTGTTGTTGTTTACACTGAGCTCATTGTGGTGTTGTTGTTTACAGTGAGCTCATTGTGGTGAATCTCCATTAACAGGAAAACTGCAAATATCGGCTTTTAGAATCTGTCTAGAGACTAAAAGGAAATAACATGAAACCGTTGCCTTGTGATGAAACAGAAAGATCCGGCAGTCATTTCCTTATTATGAGATATTAAGTCATCATTTAAGATAATAAGTCATCATTTTGAGATATTTACTTTGAGATACTACAGTTAGTCATTATTTTAAGTGATATTTGGCAATTATTTTGGCCTATATAATCCTGACATGATATAATCTCATGACTAGACAAATTCAATGTTTGAACTATCAGTGTGTGTGTGTGTGTGTGTGTGTGTGTGTGTGTGTGTGTGTGTGTGGTGTGTGATGTGTGGGGTGTATGTGTGTGTGTGTGTGTGTGTGTGTGTGTGTGTGTGTGTGTGTGTGTGGGGGGGTCGTATGTGTGGTGTGTGGGGGTTGTATGTGTGTGTGTGTGTGTCGTGTGTGTGTGTGTGTGTGTGTGTGTGTGTGTGTGTGTGTGTGTGTGTGGGGGTGGCTGGTATTGTGTGTGTGTGTGTGTGTGTGTGGTGTGTGTGTGTGTGTGTGTGTGTGGGGGTTGTATTGTGTGTGTGTGTGGTGTGTGGGGGGTGTATGTGTGTGTGTGAGATGTGCTGTGTGTGTGTGTGTGTGTATGTGTGTGTGTTTGTGTGTCAGTGTATGTGTTGTGTGTGTTGTGTGTGTATGTGTTGTGTGTATGTGTGTGTGTGTGTGTGTGGGGGTGTATGTGTGTGTGTGTGTGTGTGGTGTGTGTGTGTGTGTGTGTGTGTGTGTGTGTGTGGTGTGTGTGGTGTGTCTGGTGTGTCTGGTGTGTGTCTGTGTGTGTGGTGGTGTGGTGTGTGTGTGTGTGTGTGTGTGTCTGTGTGTGTGTGTGTGTGTGTGTGTGTGTGTGTGTGTGTGTGTGTTATCTCTTCTGAGAATAAGGGAAGTTGCCGCCGTGTGAAATCTTGTATATTTGACGTGTCATTCTCTCAGAAAACAAACACATGAGCGTTACAGTCATGAAGTTTAAGAGCATCCACTCTGAGTTTAAAAGCTTCCAAAAGCTCTCACACACAATTAATCCAATTCACAAAGTTGGAGTGGTTGCAAAAGGATTTTCAATGACACAAAAACACAAATAAATAAATAAAAAAGCGTCTAAATGAGGATTTCTGTCCATCTGTCTCCTCTCATGATGTCGCGCTGCAGGGCGAAAAGCAAACTGATCCTCGGGGAAGATGAACCATAAACACATTTCTTGCTGACATTATTCCATCTCTATGTTGAGACAGACTGCCCCAGAAATACATATATAATAATAATAATAATAATAATAATAATAATAAAAATAATGCCCCCAGAGGACACCATTTTGAGAAACTAAGTCATTATTTTGAGTCATTAAGACCTTTTTTTAAGATGCTAAGTCATTATTCGGTATATTAAATTATTATTAGGAGATACTAAGTCATTATTTTGAGATATTGAGTAATTATTTTTAGATATTAAGTCATTATTTAGAGATATTAAATCATTATTTAAGAGATTAAGTCATTATTTTCTGAAACTAAGTCATTATTTTCAGATACTAAGTCATTATTTAGAGATACTAAGTCATTATTTTGAGATACTAAGTCATTATTTAAGAGATTGAGTCATTATTTTCTGAAACTAAGTCATTATTTTCTGAAACTAAGTCATTATTTTGAGATACTAAGTCGTTATTTTGAGATACTAAGTCATTATTTCAAGATACTAGGTAATGATTTTAAGTTAATAAGTCATTATTTGGAGATTTAAAGTCCTTATTTTTGAGATACGTTATTATTTTAAGATTCATTACTTAGTCCTTATCATGCAATAAGAAGCCATTGAGGTGTTTCCATTTAATGAAGTATTCTTCCACCTCTGGTTATTATGCTGCACCACATTTCCCCGTGTGATTGAAAAGCCATTCTCCTGTACTTTATGACAGTATGTGATCTCCCATCACATAAAGCATCTCTTCCAGTTATTGATCAGACAGTAGCAGTCGATCATCAGGATTCCCTCTCCCTCTCCTGACTCCACAGAATAGAGAGGAGACTTTCTCCTTCAGAGCTGATGCTGCATTATTATTAAGTCCTTATTATGAGATACTAAGTAATTATTTAGAGATACTAAGTCATTATTAGGAGATACTAAGTCATTATTAGGAGATACTAAGTCATTATTAGGAGATACTAAGTCATTATTAGGAGATACTAAGTAATTATTAGGAGATACTAAGTCATTATTAGGAGATACTAAGTCATTATTAGGAGATACTAAGTCATTATTAGGAGATACTAAGTCATTATTTAGAGATACTAAGTAATTATTTAGAGATACTAAGTCATTATTATGAGATACTAAGTCATTATTAGGAGATACTAAGTCATTATTTAGAGATACTAAGTCATTATTAGGAGATACTAAGTCATTATTTAGAGATACTAAGTCCTTATTAGGAGATACTAAGTCATTATTTAGAGATACTAAGTCATTATTAGGAGATACTAAGTCATTATTATGAGATACTAAGTCATTATTAGGAGATACTAAGTCATTATTTAGAGATACTAAGTCATTATTAGGAGATACTAAGTCATTATTAGGAGATACTAAGTAATTATTTAGAGATATTAAGTCCTTATTAGGAGATACTAAGTCATTATTAGAGATACTAAGTCATTATTAGGAGATACTAAGTCATTATTAGGAGATACTAAGTCATTATTAGGAGATACTAAGTCATTATTAGGAGATACTAAGACCTTTATTGAGATACTAAGTCATTATTTAGAGATACTAAGTCATTATTAGGAGATACTAAGTCATTATTATGAGATACTAAGTCATTATTTAGAGATACTAAGTCATTATTTGAGATACTAAGTCATTATTAGGAGATACTAAGTCATTATTTAGAGATACTAAGTCATTATTAGGAGATACTAAGTCATTATTAGGAGATACTAAGTCATTATTAGGAGATACTAAGTCATTATTAGGAGATACTAAGACCTTTATTGAGATACTAAGTCATTATTTAGAGATACTAAGTCATTATTAGGAGATACTAAGTCATTATTAGGAGATACTAAGTCATTATTTAGAGATACTAAGTCATTATTTAGAGATACTAAGTCATTATTTAGAGATACTAAGTCATTATTATGAGATACTAAGTGATTATTATGAGATACTAAGACCTTTATTGAGATACTAAGTCATTATTAGGAGATACTAAGACCTTTATTGAGATACTAAGTCATTATTAGAAGATACTAAGTCATTATTAGGAGATACTAAGTCATTATTTTAAGAAACTATGTCATTATTATGAGATATTAAGTCCTTATTTCAAGATATTAAGTCATTATTTTAAGATACTAAGTCATTATTTAAGATACTAGGACATTATTATGAGATACTAAGTCATTATTAGGAGATACTAAGTCATTATTAGGAGATACTAAGTCATTATTTTAAGAAACTATGTCATTATTATGAGATATTAAGTCCTTATTTCAAGATATTAAGTCATTATTTTAAGATACTAAGTCATTATTTTGAGATACTAAGTCATTATTTAAGATACTAAGTCATTATTTAAGATACTAAGTCATTCTTATGAGATACTAAGTCATTATTTTAAGAAACTATGTCATTATTATGAGATATTAAGTCCTTATTTCAAGATATTAAGTCATTATTTTAAGATACTAAGTCATTATTATGAGATACTAAGTCATTATTTTGAGATACTAAGTCATTATTTAAGATACTAAGTCATTATTAGGAGATACTAAGTCATTATTAGGAGATACTAAGTCATTATTTGGGATATTAAGGCATTATTTTAAGATAATAAGGTATTATTTTGAGACACCGAGTCATCATTTTGAGATATTAAGTCATTAATATACAATTTTAAGTAATTATCTCAAGATATTAGTCATTATGATGCAATACTAAGTCATTGATAATACCTTTAATAGGTTTTTTTCTAGTATTCTTCCAGCTCTGATCCTTTCTCCGTGTGATTCTCCTCTCTGACAGTATGTGCTCTCCTGAGTCCTGAGTGCACAGAACAGAGAGTGTTTCTCCAGTAGAGCTGATGCTGCGTGGGCAAAAAGCACCCGGTCATTTACATCTGGAGACATTCCTCTCAGACAGCTCTTCAACATGACTGATGCCGTCTGAATCTAATTCATCAGCGCAGGACAATTAACAAGCGCTCTCAATGTGCATGAATCAAACGCTCGTGTCTCATTAACGCCAGAGGCGATAACTCAGTGAAGTGATATGTGGATCGCCTCACCTCTCCGTGTCGATGGCTCGCCAGCCGGCCGTCTGCATCGAACTCCCTCAGGACGTCTTTCACCTTCAGACGGCAATCTGGGCGGCAGAGACACACGCAGAGAGTATAAGTACACACTGCAGAGATACAGTACACACATCCTTTACTCAAGTAGAAGTACACACATCCTTTACTCAAGTAGAAGTACAAATACTAAGTCAAAGTAAAGAGGGCTTTGAAATGTACTTCAGTAAAAAGTACCCATAACTAGCAGCTGTTTTAAAGAGTACCTGACCTCCCTTTATATTACTAGAACAATAATGTCATTGTTAGCTAATGAATGTTTCCATGCTGAACAACGGCAACATGACAACGTTTTCATTGGTCCCTCTTCTTTAGAGAAGACCAGGAAATGATGGATACACGGATCGTGTTCAAATCAATAGGCACGCAATGACTCTAAATAATAATGATCACGCCACCAAACACACATTCAAACTAAAGGAACCAGCCTGTTTGGGAAATGTGAGAAGTAGAAAGTACAGGTATTTGTGTTCAACATGTAAGAAGTAGAAAGTACAGGTATTTGTGTTCAACATGTAAGAAGTAGAAAGTACAGGTATTTGTGTTCAACATGTAAGAAGTAGAAAGTACAGGTATTTGTGTTCAACATGTGAGAAGTAGAAAGTACAGGTATTTGTGTTCAACGTGTAAGAAGTAGAAAGTACAGGTATTTGAGTTCAACATGTAAGAAGTAGAAAGTACAGGTATTTGTGTTCAACATGTAAGAAGTAGAAAGTACAGGTGTTTGTGTTCAACATGTAAGAAGTAGAAAGTACAGGTATTTGTGTTCAACATGTAAGAAGTAGAAAGTACAGGTATTTGTGTTCAACATGTGAGAAGTAGAAAGTACAGGTATTTGTGTTCAACATGTAAGAAGTAGAAAGTACAGGTATTTGTGTTCAACATGTAAGAAGTAGAAAGTACAGGTATTTGTGTTCAACATGTAAGAAGTAGAAAGTACAGGTATTTGAGTTCAACATGTAAGAAGTAGAAAGTACAGGTATTTGTGTTCAAAGTGTAAGAAGTAGAAAGTACAGGTATTTGTGTTCAACATGTAAGAAGTAGAAAGTACAGGTATTTGAGTTCAACATGTAAGAAGTAGAAAGTACAGGTATTTGTGTTCAACATGTAAGAAGTAGAAAGTACAGGTATTTGGGTTCAACATGTAAGAAGTAGAAAGTAAAAAGTGGTCAGAAAAATAAGTAGTGGAGTAAAGTACTGATACCAGAAACATGTACTTAAGTACAGCAACAAAGTATTTGTACTCCACTACTTCCCACCTCTGCACACCGCACATGGAGTTATGCAAGATTAGAGGTTTTTAGGACATGTTTTTCCTCCAAAATGAGCGAGATATCGCGACTGATAGACAGTGATAAGGCTTTGGGAGCAGGGTGACCAGGTGTCTGCACAGCATTCTCATCATCTGTCCCACACATTTAGCCGATGTCCCACATTTGATTGACAGTCGCCCGTCTAAAACGTGGCTTTTATCCAAAGGCGTTGTGAAAACAAGAGAGCTATCACCAGTAGCTGAGTCAGATGCCAATCAATCAACAGAGAAATGTATTTATGGGTGAGCCGGTGGAGGGAGATTCCCAGAGAGTTATTGTCGGATTTGCCAGATTTTGTTTTAAATTGCGCATGGAGGTGAATATGTGTTGAAGCGACACTGCACAGAAACTCTAACGCCTGGCAAGAGATGAGGGACCAGCAGCTGATTGAATGAACGTTAAGCAGGTCAGCAGACTGTGAACTAGCTCCGGTCATTTCTTTCTGATCATAATAGCTTGTTATGTTAATTCCATTCAAAACAGATATAATTAATTCCTTCACTTGCATAGTTTGTGTAACCGTAAGCGTTGTTATTAATATTTATAAGCTAGTAGTTTAATCTAAATGTTTATTCTTAAGGGTTAGATAGACTCTTAGCAACGCAGTAACACGTCCCGCATTGTCCCGCACAAACGTCCTCTTTGTCCCACATGTGGCGTGTTGGCACCTGGTCACCCCATCTGGGAGTAATGGATTACTTGCAACGGGTAATCAGGATACAAAACACTGTATGCCCTTACAGTTAAAAAACTAGCAGATAGTGTTTGTTGTAAAGGATCAGATGTTCTCTCTTCTCTGTCAGCTGTTCTGTTCTCTAATACTGTCAGTGTGAAACTATACGCCTACTGCCTGCTTCATTTGTTCTGTGTTTAATTCAGCAGGTGAACCTATGTGTTCGTAAAGTAGTGTGTGTGAGCTTGACTGTGTGTGTGAGCGTTTTCTGTCAGCAGCTCTTTTTGGGGTATTTAAAATATAAAAACGACATAATCTAATCCACACTTTACTCCTTGCTTACCCTGCTTCTGTTAGCACTCATCAGATTGGAGTAGATATTATAATTAACACGTTCATTTACTGAATCGAATCATGAGATACAAAAAAAATCATAAAAAGCACCCATTTCCCACCACCTACTGTATCTAACATCTCTCCACAATTAATGGCTTAGTTTCCCAAGAAAATGACTTATTATCAAAAGAAAATGACTAAATGATGACTTTCCCTGACAGGTTATGAGATGTATAATTTAATAAGATCACGATTTAAGAGACGCTGGATTATTATGTGTATTACGAGCATGATATAAATACTTCACTTCCACCCGTTCATCACGACATCCCTAACATGTCTGACTCCACCATGATTCATCTGGTGTGTGTGTGTGTGTGTGTGTGTGCGTGTGCGTGTGCGTGTGCGTGTGCGTGTGCGTGTGCGTGTGCGCGTGCGCGTGTGCGTGTGTGTGTGTGTGTGTGTGTGTGTGTGTGTGTGTGTGTGGTGGAAGTGGAAGTGGAGAGAAAGCTGTGTCTGTACTCACACTCGATGTAGTGCTGGAGCTGGATGAAGTCGACGGGGTTCAGTTCCTTCACCTCTGGGTGCGTGGGGGAGGACATGCTGCCGAAGCGAAAGAAAAGAGGAGGTGGGTGAGTAACAGGACGCTTTGTGAAACATAAAAGCACGACTGCGAGCAAAAGATAGCATCTCCCATCTCGCTGTGTGAAGAAAAACCCTCTGAAGTGTGGAGTGAACACATCGAAACACCGAGAGACGAGAGGAAACAGAACAGAGCAGCGTCTGCACAGAAGCAAACATTCATTCAGGAGAACATGAGGCATGGGTTATATCAGAGGTGAACCGTCCGGGCCTTCAGAGAGACCCTGGAACACTCAGATAACACAAAACAATCTAATTAATTATATGAACATCATTTTATAAAATGTAAATAAAATGAATAAATGAGAATGGTATCTGAGTTACGTTGATCTGAAATATTACAGTGTTACGTTGATTTGTTTGTCCTTCTCGGTCCATGCACGACGCATTTCAGTGGTTTTGTGTAAAATGCAACCAATCAGATGTTCTTCTGGGTCTCTGGGTAGAATACCCTGTTACACTGAATGAGAGCGGACGTTTGGATTGACAGTTTGATCAACCAATCATATATTGATGCATACTGACATCAGCAGGAGAGGACTCTTTAAAGTAGAGACACTACATACTGATATACACCTGGACATCAGCAGGAGAGGACTCTTTAAAGTAGAGACACTACATACTGATATACACCTGAACATCAGCAGGAGAGGACTCTTTAAAGTAGAGACACTACATACTGATATACACCTGAACATCAGCAGGAGAGGACTCTTTAAAGTAGAGACACTCCATACTGATATACACCTGGACATCAGCAGGAGAGGACTCTTTAAAGTAGAGACACTACATACTGATATACACCTGAACATCAGCAGGAGAGGACTCTTAAAGTAGAGACACTACATACTGATATACACCTGAACATCAGCAGGAGAGGACTCTTTAAAGTAGAGACACTACATACTGATATACACCTGAACATCAGCAGGAGAGGACTCTTTAAAGTAGAGACACTACATACTGATATACACCTGAACATCATCAGGAGAGGACTCTTTAAAGTAGAGACACTACATACTGATATACACCTGAACATCAGCAGGAGAGGACTCTTTAAAGTAGAGACACTACATACTGATATACACCTGAACATCAGCAGGAGAGGACTCTTTAAAGTAGAGACACTACATACTGATATACACCTGAACATCAGCAGGAGAGGACTCTTTAAAGTAGAGACACTACATACTGATATACACCTGGACATCAGCAGGAGAGGACTCTTTAAAGTAGATACACTACATAGTGATATACACCTGGACATCAGCAGGAGAGGACTCTTTAAAGTAGAGACACTACATCCTGATATACACCTGAACATCAGCAGGAGAGGACTCTTTAAAGTAGAGACACTACATACTGATATACACCTGAACATCAGCAGGAGAGGACTCTTTAAAGTAGAGACACTACATACTGATATACACCTGAACATCAGCAGGAGAGGACTCTTTAAAGTAGAGACACTACATACTGATATACACCTGAACATCAGCAGGAGAGGACTCTTTAAAGTAGAGACACTACATACTGATATACACCTGAACATCAGCAGGAGAGGACTCTTTAAAGTAGAGACACTACATACTGATATACACCTGAACATCAGCAGGAGAGGACTCTTTAAAGTAGAGACTCTTTCATTGTGTATTCTTTCAACTCGATTTCAACTCACTCTTATTATTCTGCACACAAATATTTAACGTCTTTGTTCTGAGTGATTCAAAAGCTATTCTCTTGCACTGTGAGACAGCTTTTATGTGTTAAATAAAACATGTCCTTTCTTTGTGAAACATAAAAGCACGACTGCAAGCAAAAGATAACGTGTCCCATCTCGCTGTGTGAAAAAGCTTCTGAGAGGAACACATGGACAACAGAAAGCAGAGGAGCACAAAACTCTTTGTGACCGTAATGCATTATTATAAAAGCTGTCATGGCTCGCCACAACCATTATGCATCACTGCGGTGGATTTAATTACTTCATTGCATGCTCTGAAATACAGATTCACTGGCAGGAAACAAATGATTATAGTCATCATCAAATAATCTGCAAATGATGTTCTAGAAGATAAATGATTTGGTTTAATTAAACATTGAAATACACAAAATACTTCAATGTTTTGTTTGTGTTAGCATGTATTTGCATCAACATAAGACTGCTTCTTGTTCAAAATGAAACGCACAGAGCACGGCCTTTACTTATCTGACTTTAAATAGTTATTCTTTCTCTGAATTCATTACATTAATATACAAACTCTTCTGCTCTGAACTGCCAACCCAGTCTCACGGCATTTCGTGTTATTAGTCACGAAATTAATTTAATCTATTGATTCGTGTTCACCAACACGATTTTCACATTTTTTTCGTGTCACACAGAACGATTTTAAATGCAATGTATTTCTATTGGTAGTATGTTTCGTGCCTGCAACACGTCTTTTTGTCCGGTCGGGTCTTGGAAGACCAGAAGCTGTGTGGTTCATAAAAACATGTTCTTACTCAATATCTTACCCTAAGCCTAACCCTATCCCTTTTATTTTAAATTGTATAATGTCTGAGTTTTTTTGCCGTCAGTGAGGAAAAGAAATGTCTCAGAGCCTCAGAATACTGACATCTGTATTTTATGTCATCTTTTTTTCCTTCTAATTTGTTATTATTTGGTGCAGGCACGAAACATACTACCAATATAAATACATTGCTTCTAAAATCGTTCTGTGTCAGAATACTGAAATCTGTATTTTTTTAAATGTCTTTTTCCTTCTAATTTGTTATTATTTACATTGCTTTTAAAATCGTTCTGTGGGACACGAAAAAAATGGCGAAATCGTGTTGGTGAACACGAATCAATAGATTAATTTCGTGACTATAACACAAAATGCCGCGAGACTGTGTTGGAACTGCAGCTGCAACCTTCAGGATAGCTTTATAGAAATACATGTTTCGCGCACTGTTAAAATAGTTTGCTGGATCAAATGTCAGTTTCTGAAGTGCAAGGTCATGTCTTTAAATGTTTTGTTTTGTCAGCACAAACAACTCAAATGCTCACTTTATTATGAAACAGGAAAAGCAGCAAATCTCTTCTTGTTTTGTCTGAAAAACCCACAGATGTTCACTTTATTATACGATATAAAACAAAGAAAAGCTTATTTTAGAGACATTTCAACAAGAAAAAAAGACTATAACAATTAATCAAAATAGGTTGCATTTAAGTTTCTGTCAATCTATTAATCATAAGCTCTAAAAACTGTCTTTATACTGCATTTATTTTAAATCTCTCAAGTTATTATCCACTAAACTGGGCCAAAAGTCTGGTACAAAGTATGCCAGGCTAAATGACCGGGGATTATCTGCACCCATTAGGCGTGCATCTCGATCAGAAACCACATCACATAATGGGGGTTTAGTGCAAGACAACAATGTGCACTGAAGTGTTGAAATAAGCAATAGCTCCTGCAGAGCGGTCAAAGAAAACAAAGTGTGTTGTGAAGGGACTTCCCCTGCAACACAAGCAGCAGACCTAAATGTCAGAGCAGCCCGGAAGCAAACGTAACATTTGAATGTGACAGAAAAAGCAGCGTGTTGTGGCTCTGAAAAACCAGTCCTGCAGGTTGTGGATACACATCTGTTCCCAGCACATTATGCACGCATCCATCAGAAGCAAACAGGAAGGAGATTCCCCCGATGAATAAATGTACAATGCATTCATCAGTAAGGAAAGAGTTAATGGAAAGGTTGCCTCGTGTTTAGACGCATGCCGGTAAAACGTTGCAAAAAGAAACACAGGGATAGATCGATGAGAAACGTATATAATGCCTAATGCAGTTGATAATCAATATGTAAAGCAATTATGTCCGCCAGCAGGACATGTGACCTTTGCAGGCTGCGCTGCGAACACACAGAAAAACACACAAACACAACAGAATAAACACAAACAAGCTTTTCTGTTCGCTGCTCGTTGTTCTTAGAAGTATGAGGAAATATTTGTGATACAATGTGATATTTTTAAAAGTTAAAATACACATTCTTACATTTATAGAAAAGGACGGTTCTGAGTTAATAAGCAGTAAAATGCACCCTGTCACTACTTTAAAGAGTCCTCTCCTGCTGATGTTCAGGTGTATATCAGTATGTAGTGTCTCTACTTTAAAGAGTCCTCTCCTGCTGATGTTCAGGTGTATATCAGTATGTAGTGTCTCTACTTTAAAGAGTCCTCTCCTGCTGATGTTCAGGTGTATATCAGTATGTAGTGTCTCTACTTTTAAAGAGTCCTCTCCTGCTGATGTTCAGGTGTATATCAGTATGTAGTGTCTCTACTTTAAAGAGTCCTCTCCTGCTGATGTTCAGGTGTATATCAGTATATAGTGTCTCTACTTAAAGAGTCCTCTCCTGCTGATGTTCAGGTGTATATCAGTATGTTGTGTCTCTACTTTAAAGAGTCCTCTCCTGCTGATGTTCAGGTGTATATCAGTATGTAGTGTCTCTACTTTAAAGAGTCCTCTCCTGCTGATGTTCAGGTGTATATCAGTATGTAGTGTCTCTACTTTAAAGAGTCCTCTCCTCCTGATGTTCAGGTGTATATCAGTATGTAGTGTCTCTACTTTAAAGAGTCCTCTCCTGCTGATGTTCAGGTGTATATCAGTATGTAGTGTCTCTACTTTAAAGAGTCCTCTCCTGCTCATGTTCAGGTGTATATCAGTATGTAGTGTCTCTACTTTAAAGAGTCCTCTCCTGCTGATGTTCAGGTGTATATCAGTATGTAGTGTCTCTACTTTAAAGAGTCCTCTCCTGCTGATGTTCAGGTGTATATCAGTATGTAGTGTCTCTACTTTAAAGAGTCCTCTCCTGCTGATGTTCAGGTGTATATCAGTATGTAGTGTCTCTACTTTAAAGAGTCCTCTCCTGCTGATGTTCAGGTGTATATCAGTATGTAGTGTCTCTACTTTAAAGAGTCCTCTCCTGCT